GTCGACTGACGTCATATGGCACGAAATCTAAAAAGTTGCGTAAACGTTTTACTCAGATCTCGGACGGGTGTAGAAGGCTGCTTTTTAGCTTTTTAGCTTTTATGCCTTCCCGCGCTTTCGGACTTCAACTTCTTGTTGGTGTTTTTGCTGTTTGGTGCTGTGTGGATTTCCGTGTTTCAATTTCAGCTGTCCATTGGACTTTTCGCCTGCTTCTGAAATTCTCGTACCTGAACTCGTGTTGTTCAAGCCGTATAGTAGTAGACTCGATCTTGTTTGATTGCTGAGCGCGACACGATGCCGAAAATCCAGTGCACAGAAGAAATGGAGGCGAAGCTCATGGAGCTGTGGGCGATATATCAAAAAACAAGGCGTTCCAAACTCGTTCTCAGGGTGAGCTGTCCACAAGTTGCGACCAATTCTGTATTTGACGGTACCATTCCGCAACAGCATGTTGAGCATCGTCGTGACCATGAAATTTGAGCAACTGCGATCAGTCATCTAGAAAATATCAAGAGCAGGACCGCCATCAGACGACTTCACTAGCTTCTGCAGGTCCTGCAATATCATGGCGGCAACAATTTTACGTCGCCGCTTTCTCCTTGCCGGAGTCAACCTGAGCTCCATGGGCATGGCTCCAACACAAGATGCAGAACGAAATCGAAGAAGCACACACAGCACTCGTTCTGAGAGCAGAACATTTCATCCGAACTGCACTACATCAGTACAGTCATGTACGTAAAAAGCAGATCACCTGGCAGTGTGCAACTGCACTTGATCAGGCTGGCGCATACGCAACGTATGCTCAAGTTAGTTGCGTTTTACATGTACGTAGTGTGTAAGGGCCCTAATGCAAGCCCGTGTTAGTAAACGCATTTCCAAAAATAGTAACTTTGACACATGTAGCAACGCACAGTGTGCATGATTGTACATCTACAGGTCAATACTGTACAATCATGTACATGTATGGCAAGCTGCCGCATGACAGAACGCTAGGTGCACTGCACAAGGGCAAACACTCATTGACAAAGCATAATACGGAACCACTTGTCTTTACTACCAATCCTACCCAGGGATGTGTCAGTTGTAAAACAGAAATGCCATCCTTGCCCTGGGACGTTTGTTGGAGCTGGCTTGGTCTAGCGGAGAGATGGGATGTGCGCGGCTGGGGCAGGTCTTCATTACGATACAATAAATAATGTACATGTAGATACGATCTTCGGACGCGGCGTACACGTTTTCACAGTTTCGCTCACTTTCTCCACATACAATGTACAGTGTGCATGCGCACTTGTACAATTAAATTATTTCATGTGCAGTTTGATCTCTTCTCCATGGGGTAGTCGATATACACTACTAATACTGCACATGTATTATACATGTACATGTACTTCAAAAGGAGACTTCACTTCACTTCGCGTGATGGTTCGGTATGCAGGTGTAGGTGGATTAGACGTAAATACTTGTACATGTACATGGCAACGAACTTGAATACAAACACATGTAAAGAGTAAGGACTCAAATCTGCTGGGCACAGGGAGCAGACTGCAAACAATTCCACGCGGCGTATTATAGAACTATCATGATTATGGTCATATTTTGTCTTAGATTTCCACTCAGTATTCCCCCCCCCAGGCAACAACAAGTGGTATCACTATCAGTAAAACGTTTGGTGTGGCACTGTGTCACAGCCTGTGTGCTACTGCCATTGTGACCACGATGCAATGCTACGTCTTCGTTTTTGGTGGTCGAGAAACTTGGTCTAATCGGTGTCCAATCACGTGCAATCAGCAGTTGCTAGCAGATGGGTGTCGCACGAATGCGACCGGTGGCGAGACGATGGTGAACCACCCTGACGCTTCCCCAGTTTGTTCCAACCACTGAATCTTTGATCGCTCCCCAAACTTCAAACAATAATACATCTGTTTGCCATCTAGTTTACCAGAACTGCTTGTATGACGAATATCCGGGTTGGAGTCCGTCCCCGTCACCCACTAGAGTCTAGACATCAGACATGACTTCAGCCTCTCCTATTCCCCTGCCCCCTCCGTGACAGCTACAGTTCATGTACATGTACATGTACATGTATATTATGTACATGTATATGTACATAATAATGCTGACGAGTCCACAAAGGACGAAACAGTTCTGTCCGCAGATTGAGTGTATATGTACATATACATGTACATGTACATGTATATGTACATGTATATGTACATGTACAACTCATACATTGTATGGTCGCCTCGCCTCGCCTCGCCCTCAAGTGGGACAAGCCACTTTCAACCATCATGGCGTGGGTGCGAATTCGCAACCAATTTGCAGTTTTCCATGCAGTCGACCTCCGGCTACGCGGGTCCAGAAGGCGCCTGACAGGCCTCTCGACGCGGGATGGTGCTGGGGTAGGCATCGGCCATTGAGAACTGAATTTCGTCCGTTTTACGTGAACTTTTTGGAGTTTTCCAATGTATTGCACTTGAATAAAATTATATTTTACTTTACATGGTATCTCTATTTTTTCACGTCTACATGACTTTATCTTGCCAAAGAGGCCGTTACTCCGCAAAAAAATACATTGTATGAATATGTTTATTGGCTGCACACTGGCTTGTGCTCTGAGGACAGGAACCGCTGCTGACTCCACCCCAAAAGGCACCTGGATACCAGGCACACGCCAGTGGGTGGCTGGTGTCCAGTATGGTTTCCATCATGGCGATTCTGAGGAAACACGGCAACTACATACAATTATTATGTACATGTACATGTCCATCTACATTGTACATGTACTGCATTGCCTTCTTCAAAGTATTAGTTCTTACCTAGGATTTACGTGCCGGTGAAAGCTTACTGTAGCTTGGCAACGCCGCCGTTGCATCTTGTACATCATGCATGGGTTATGTACATGTACATGTTTTATTTTTTAAACTTTGAGTTGAAAGTTTGTGGAACACTTGGGGAACGTATTCATTGTGTGTACTTTGCCGGTAAAAGAGGCTAGTACCTGTGCTCGTTCAAAGCCGAGGCACTGTACATGTACAGGTACAGGTGCAGTGAAACCCGTCTAAGACGACCGCTCAAGGGACCTTCAAAATGCGGTCTCTGTTACCAGGTGGTCTCCTTATCCAGGGTCGTTTGACTGGAAATACATGTAGCATCCCTTGGTCCTGGTTACAGTGGTCTTCTGGGACAGACGGTCGCCTTATCCGAGTGGTCGCCTTGACAGGTTTTACTGTACATGGACATGTATATCCGAGGTCAAATGACTGGCAGAGGATATGCAAGATCCTCAGGAAATACTTTACAATGTACATGTACATATCCGATGGAAGGAGAAAGGTATAACGTGCACGTACATTTTAAACGAAGCGTACTTGCAATGATACTTCCCATGGTTCGCGTGTGGGTCAGATCTATGCCCCAGAACATCCTAGTTCCGTCGGCTCTCTTCCACCTTTCCTTCCTGATCGTGCGTGCCTGGTGCACAGAGCCCGAGGCCGAAGCAGCGTGCATCGACCATACTTGTACCACATGCACGACACACAATGTAGCCATACCGGTTGGCCAGGGTCTGCAATCTCACATGTATCAGTCTCTCCGCGCCACTACGTCCCTCCAAGTAAGTAATAGTTCTACGGTGATGTTCTGATCGCAATCCAGATCTTACTGGAGCGCTCAGTGATGCACTTGCCAACACTGAGCAAAATGCATCAATGAATTTGCTCAACTTCCATCATAAATTGACATAATCGCTATCTTATCTTGATCATAACTGTTATCTGGAAACTTATTTTCAATAAACTGTCCTAGTACTGAAATAGAACCATGCAAGGTGTCATGAAGTATTGCCAGCCTCAGCGAATAGGAGAACTCGTTGCACTAAGTATCAGCATCGATCCACGCATGGTACTGCCAGATGGAAGTAGTCGGATCCCAAGCAAGCAAAGTTTTTAAATATCCTCCCATTGAATCAATCATTGGTAGTGACCAAGCCTTGTGTCGGCAGTTCAAGCACAGGAAGTGAGATCGCTGGTACCTTCCCTGCCACTGAGTCACTTATGGAATATGCACAGCCATGCATCGGCACTTGAAAAAAAGCTGTGATTTTGTCAGGTTTAATAGTCATCCCGTTTGTTCCTCAGTCAACTCCGACAATCAGTAGGAGCATATCTCAAGCATTAGCTTCGTGCGGTACACTGTCCCAGTACAACACGTTATTCACCGTCAGCACACTAGTACATGTATATCCACCAAACACAAAGTGCATGCAAATGTCCGTATCATCGCATCGTTCGACACGACTTTGAGAGCGACACAGGTGACAGCTGATTTCAAACCCGAAATCCCCGTTTGATTTCCTGAGAAAGATTGTAATCAGTTCACATGGTTCATCACCAGGCTGCAGGACTCGTACGAGTTTGAATACTGTTGTTACGACTGCATAGAATGGCAAGCGTTAGATAGTAATCGATACAATGTCATGTACACAAAGTGCCTGAGGTCCTTGCTGCAAATAGTGCTCAATACCTCAAAAAGGGCAGAGCGTACTACACAAGGCAGAGCAACACTCAACAGAGACCGAAAATCTTTCTCGTTACTCCGAGTTTCGTGAAACTCGGAAACACACATCAGACGAACGTTCATCTGAAGAGTGTTTCCGAGTTTCGTGTTCAAAAACACGAAACTCGGAGTAACGAGAAAGATTTTTCGTCTCTGTTGTTCTGCCTTGTGCAATGTCATGTACATCTACATGTACATGTATATGAGGACGAAAACCGGAATTGAGGGGCGGGTGCATGAGATCTGCTTCAGTATAATGCAAGTGATACATGTACATGTACATGTATGTCATGTACATTTTGTACGTCCTACAACCATAATTATACTGCCCTCTTTCAAGTAATTATTTTAAGTTTCAACACATACTGTTTCAAAATTTTGAAGGACGCTTCACGCAGCTTCATTATACTTGAATTGTTTGCAGGCAACCTGCCTACACTCAAGAGAGCACTGCATTTCACACAAATCCATTGGTATCGTTACAACGTTTCGGTCTTTATGACCATCATCAGGAATGAAGTGGACATGGAAAGAACAGCAGTATAAAAGAAGGAGGCAAGCAAGCAAAGCGCGGTACATAGTGACAGCGCGCGTAGAGAAGTGCAAAGCACGTCATGGCGGGTGTGCATTACTACATATACATGACAACACAAGCACAAACGGCGAGGAAAGTAGATACTGCGCTACAGCAGTGATAACAGCCATACACATACTGTGCTTTTAAATTAATTATAGGCGTACCCAGGGCCATATCCAGGGATGCACGTGCGTGGACGTGAGCGAGACAGAGAGGTTCCAGTTGTACAATCCGGCCCCCGGTTGGCTGGTGGGTTTCACCCCACTGTCAGCAAATACCAATTATTGCGCCACGGTACTGCTAGCTTCACTGTGGCAGTGTGCTGTGTGGGGACGCGACAACGAATGAGAAGCAGGGTGTCTCAAAATCCGGCTTGGAATACTCCAGTGAACGTCATTTTCATTTTCTCTGGAAAGAAAGCGAAATCAAAATAATGTGTTAGTATGAACCACCACGACTCAAGTTCCGCCGCGGCGCTGCTTTTCACTGATAACAAACTTCACAAAACGCGGGAGGCAGGATCTAGGACGGGGAAAGCAGGATATCCCTACTCTCCAGCCGCGCGGTAACCCTGAGCAAGGCTCGAAGGAACCAAACCAACCCAACCAAAGTTGAAACCACTCACCTTTTTACTTCTGACGTTCTGTATCTCTCACTCGCCACTGGTCTAATTCATACAGGCAAGAGTCACGTAAACATGGTGGTGAATTCTTGATAAAAGGTTAGTTCTACATGCAAATGAAACTTGCATATGAATTAAAGGAGGCACATCAACCTTAAATGTACTCACTAATGTTTTATGCTGGCCTTTCATTCCCTCAACCTGATGAATACTGGAATTGGTTTGATATTGGACCTACATGCACATGTACACTAACAACCACCTTCCCACATCATAACCTCTAGCCGTCTAGGAGTAAAGCCAGGTGTCACGGATTGAGGCGTTACTGGAAGAACGCCATACTGGCATGGGCTACTATTAGAGACGATATCAGTAGCCATGCTTTCACATGTCATTGTACGTCATATATTAATAATGAACATATCATGTTCTACATTGTAAATGTACATGTAAGTGTAGAAGAGAAAAGGACATTATGGATACGAGTTAAGAGTAACTCTCCATCACTGTAACATGATACTATATACAGTCAGAAAGTGCAATAACTAGGCCATCTTAACTCGTATCCATATGTCCTTTTCTCTTCTACATTTATTTATGGCTCAACATCCGAGTTTCAAACATGTAAGTGTATGTGCTTTTAACCACGTCTTTGCATGAGGTGGCAAAGCACCGTCCATTATAACTTACCTTTGACTCAACCAAGGAACAGTGGCACTGATGTTTTCCACTCCAAACGAATACTGCGTAAAAGCGATTAGAATAGATACAACGTTAATGCATGATTTGTATACTTACGTGTTCGAATCTTACCTCTAAGGCTCTATCCTCCTAATAATATTATTCATTTTATCCCAGGTTCACATCTCACCTGCCCTTTGCCTGGCTTGGGCATACGCTAATAATACTTCAGTAATAATTACGGCTACAAGCGAGGGGCTCTGGTTCGAGTCCTGGTGGTGACAGTCAATTTTGTCTTCAGACTTTTCCCGTTTGTGTCTTTCCCTCAAAACCAGTGAATAATAATAATTACAATAATATTATACAATGCAGTATGACATTGTATTCAACAATCAGTAATTTTTCGAGACAGACTGGAGACCAAGTCAGTGCAGTGACATTCACTGAGTGACGAGTCTGTCACCAGGTCACTGAGTCACATGTGTCATGCAGCACTGCCCAGCTAGCAGCAGGCTTTCTCGTTCGTTGCCGTTGGCTGCTGCGCGAGCTCGAGGTGTGACATGTTTGTGGCGTTTGCTGTTCCACTGCATGCATGCCATGCAATGATGCATTGACTGGGCACTGGAACTGGAATAGAACTTTAGAAGGGATTCGTGGGCTTGTCCCCACGCACAGTCAGACTCAGCAAACAACCTGTACAGACAGTATGTACCTGATGTCTACTGTAGTCTGTAGCGTAGCGTAGGCTTGGTCCCAATTTACCCTAGTATCATAGCAATAGCCTAGGCTATAACTAACTACTTACTAACTTGGCAAGCCTATGCTACATACACTACCCTACAGTCGTTGGGCGAGGACACTGCCACTGCACTGGGAGTGGGACTTAGTGGGAGCTGCATGCATGTGCCCATCCATTGACTTGTTGTGCATCGATCCCAGTACATCACTACGGAGGATTAGCAAGACGAAATTCGCGTTCGCGTTCGCTCTCCAAGGAAAGTCAAACTGAGTCAGGGACGGAATTCGCGTTATGGGAAGGATTAGCAAACAGAATTCGCACTTGCATGACGTTGACACGACGTACATTGTGTACCGACAGTACAGCGTGGTAAATTTATGACTGCCCTGACACGAATCCGCGACTCGTGTTCCGACTACTTTTCCGAACGAAAAATGCGAAAGTTCGCAATCCAGTTCGCGAACTGAAAAGTGTTTGCGAACGCGAACGCAAATTTCGTCTTGCTAATCCTCCGTATTGTACACTGTCGAGTCGTGTCGACCGCCGTGTATTGTACAATGTCATGTACTAGGATTCAGGTCAGGATGTCGCGAAACCGGAGTTTTAGTTTTTCCGACTCCCCGGACTCATATGCATAGCATACAAGTCCTATCCGCTGAGCACTAAAAATAAAAATTAATAGTCTAAGACTATGACTTATGAGTATGAGTTCATGAGTATGACTGACTGTGAAGTCACTGAGTCTGTGTAGATCTAGCTTGCTGTCTACCAGTACTCAGGCAGTAGTCTACCTGGTCTACGGGTAGATCTAGTATTAGTAATACATATCCATGATATCTACTGGAGCAGAGACCGTGTTTGCGTATTTGGGGGGGGGGGGGGGAGGGGGTGAGTAGTAGTTAGGAAGCGTGATGACGTTTGTAAAAAATAAAAATGGCTGCAACAGATGCAGAGTTGCAGTAAAGTATAATTGTACTTCAAAGTACATGACTCATGAGTGTACAGTGCTGGCAACTGAAATCCGACCCCTGGTGCGGTGACATCGCAAACACCCAAAACGGGATACAGTAGTGTAGTAAAACTACGAAAATTTCATAGAGACCGCTACATGTAGAATGTGAACGCATCGCTAAGGGGTCGGATTTCAGTTGCCAGCACTGTACACATGGTACATGTACAGTCATGTATTTAATTTTTGACTTTCAGTCTCGGCGCGGGTACTGGTACCGGGCCGGGGGACCAGGGTTGACGGACGAGACGCGCTTGGTCAGCTCGGCCGGGATCGGTACGAGTGCAGCTCGCCCGCATCGTGTAGGCCCAGCACTCCTACATGAAATCGTGGCATGCAGTGAGTCAAACTCAAACGAGTCATGAGTGAGCCTGCCCGGCTGCTCGCTAGTCTAGTCACCAGGTCACAGTCACCATCACTTCACAAGTCACATCGACTCATCAGACCCCTTTGCAGCACGGATCCGGGTGCGCCCTGACAGTCAGTACAGTCAGTACTACAGAGTAGTACAGTAGATCTACGCCGAGACTACGGGCAGCGCAGTCAGAGTCAGAGTGCTACATCAGTACATGTAGTCGGAGTCCGTAGACTAGCCGTGGTACATGTACTAGTGCTGTGTAGTGCAGAGCCACGCGTCATTCAACTAGACGCGTTGACTGGCGTAGGTTCGTTGACTTCACTGGCCTCTTGAACAAGTCTGGAGAACTGAAGAGGTCTTCCACGTCAGGCATTTCCCAACCTTGCTCCAACGGCAAGAACTCTTTGTCGAGCTCTGGTTTGGTGCGGCTTGCCAGCAGCCGAAGTGGATTCCTTGCTGTCTTCTCCGAGATATATGAGGACTACGAAGTGAGATCTGTAGTATTACTAGCTTTGCCTGGAAACACGCGCAGAGTGGAGCGGAGCCGGGTGGATTTTGAGCTGCGCAGCGAATATTTTGCGTCTTGTTGTCGTCGGCAAGGAAGAAACGACAAGATGTTTCAGTTGCGCTCTGTAGTATTGCTAGTGGCGTTGATGGCGCTGGATGCTCGTGCAATTGTATCGCCCTTTGAAGACCTACACGACATCTTGAGTCCACCAGGTAAGCCTTGGCGATCGATCGTCTTCCGTATTCCTAAACTATAGATAAATAAATTCCTGTGTGACAGAGAGCTAGAGGTGGAAAGAGTTGTGGCGAATCGGTGCGTACGCGCACTGGCGAGGATTGCTTTGTCAGTGTTCTGTAGCTGTGTTAGGTCTAGTGACTACTGTGCGTGGTTTTCCACTGTTTGATTGGCCATTCAATCCTTGTTGGCGTTTACTCGTTTGTCTCTTGTGGTGTAAAACGTGCGCTATGTGAACGTCGGTGGTAGTATCAAAATAAGTTTGTTACGGGACCCGTGGTAACATCGGCTAGTGGCACCGTACTCGTCATTTGAGGATGCTCAATATTGATTTTGGTGGGTAGATCCTTGGTGCAGTTGTACTGTTGATCGGGAGCTTGCTAGATTGTGCGAGGTGAAAATGATTGATCGTAGAATCTCTGAATGTAAAATGGCCTTGCCGATCGCACGACCGACGACGGAGATGCGATCAGATCGGAGGCGCAGAGTGGATCGCGAACGACTACGACTACGTGTGACCGAACGCCTGTCCCCGGAGCTTGTGCGAGGAGCCCAATGTCCGTTGGGATGCGTCCGTTTGTCCTGGACTGGAATGTCGAATGCGCGTTAGTAACCAAGTCCCTTCACATTGATTATGTCATCGTTGCTGGTGGGAATAGTAAGATTTGACATAATGTCCAATGCGTTGCCGCAGCTTGACACTAGGCGTCCATGGGTGTTTGGGTCCTACGCTGGTTCTTGCGAAAGGCAGGCAGGCAAGAAAGAACGTCAGTACATAGTAAGAAAGGCGTAAATATGTTTCTGCCAACAACGCGTCGACTTGTAATGAATGGAGGCGCGTGTTGTGCATGCGTGAATGGTGCGAGGAGATGAGTCTGCTTTTCATGGACTCTCGCTTCACAGTGGTTCGCAGTCACCCATGATTGCCTGCTCAGTTCCTCCACCTGCTCCTCTAACGCCTGGTAGACGAACGACACCAGCCAGCACCATGCATTGAAAGTAGTTCCTGCCACTGCTTGTCTTGCTGCAGCGCTGTGCTGACCAGTGCGGCCGTGGGATCCACGGGCGCATCGTGACTGAAAACGTTTAGTTTACTAGTACATGACATGTAGCTGCGAAAACAAAAACCCGAGAGTTATGAGCTCCCTGTTGTTGTGGACAGCGTCACCGGTCCGAATATCTATTTCAAGCTCGGTATTGAGCTGAGCACCGACAGCATATTGTTTTCGTATAGCTTGTTCGAGTTTGTGTAAATCATGCATCGTGGGAGTCCACACGTAAACTGAATGCTGATGCAGTGATGGCGTAAGAAATTATTTGTTACAGTTCCTGTCCTGTTGTCATTTGGCCATCACGAGAATTATTTGTAGCATTTTTTTCACGCTCGATACAGCAACATAACTATGGGTTAGACATCTTCGAACAATCATTCTTGAAGCTACAGTAGCGATGGTCTCCCATGTTATTGAGGTAGCTCTGACCACACAGTCTTAGCGTTGTTGAGAATGGAGAGCTCTTTTGCAGGCCCACGCAGGAAGTAGAGGTAGGTTTGTGGGGCAATAGGTTTTTTTTTGTGAGTGAGAAGACTCAGCTGACCCTGGAGCTTCTGACAGTTAGTCTACTGGCAGATGTGATTGTGCATATGATAAGCCTAGACTCTCAAACATTACTTCTGTCATGCCAGGAGACGCTGGTAATCGGAGTTCCGAAAAGCAGGTTGTTCTATTTCGTCTTGTGTAAAGGTAATGAGGCTTGTATTTTGTAATCCGGATTGTCCTACAAAAAAAAAAGTAAAAACGAAAAAGTATTAGTGAGTGTAAAACAGTGTGATGATGGGTTCATGCTTGTCGAGAATGCTCTATGATACGTAGAGCTGCTAAACACTGCGTGGACGCTCCGATGAATTGTGTTGCTGCTTCCACATGCCAAAGAGCGCCATTTTATCACCACAGCACGCTTGAAAAGGCGATGCACTCGCTGCAGCGACAACGCAGGCGAACGTGCCGCGAGTTGTGAAGCTGATTCGTCGACCACAAGCGTTGCTCACAACTGGCACGGATCCCAAACATGGTTTCTCTGGTGCGAAGAAGAAAGCAGGCAGCTCGAGTGCTGGCCATTGTTGACAGGATGGCATCTGGCCCTTTTCCCTGCACACTCCGGGTGGCGGCCAGGCAACTCAAGGCCTTGACTTCCTCTTTGCCTGGCCTGTGTGCATTGAATGTGATCAAATGCCCCAATCATTATGCGTGTGCTGGGCAGACAACGACCCACTGTCACCCAGCATATGGCATGGTGTCACGTACTTCCAAGTAGCTGTTTTGTAAAATTTCATAGGTTTATAGGTTTAGTGGTGACAAATCTCAGATTGCAAGTGAATTCCATGACCAGAGGAATGCACAATGAGAACCACTTGAAATTGTAGCCCATAAACTTGCAATGTTGCATGCGCACGACCTATGTCGTCTCAATAGGCGTCCAATTGCGAATAAAGATGATAAGGCTCATGAAAAAACCTCCAGTCTAACCGCGAGCATCAACTGATGTTGTGACAGTGCGTATCGGGCAACAGCTGTGAGAAGGGTAAAACTGACATTAAGTTTTGTATACGGTGGCGGTGACCCCGAGGCGCTGCAGGCCACCTTGCCTTGTCTTTCATGCTCTCTGTCTGTGGAAAAAACTCTATGCTCATCAATTGCCGCTGGGTCTGTTTTTGGGATGTGTGCTGATGATGATCCAAAGTATTTGAATGGCTATGTTTGATTGGGAGCTGTTAGACGTGCGAGGACCAGAAGTGCAGTTCAGGCTGTGTGCCTCAGGCGATCTAGAGAAAAGCGCAAGAAACTACAAGGGGGGGGGGGGGGGGAGAGAGAACTTGCTGCAAACCGCGCTGCAGCATGCCTGCGGTTTGTGGGGGTGATTGCAAACAGTGATTCTGTGCAAATTATTGAGAGTTCCTGTTGTTTAGTGAGAATGTATTGTATTTCTGTGTGGTGGTGGTGGTGGTGCTTGGTTAGAGTAGATACCAAGTGACATTGAGACTGATAGAGATAAGAATTTTATTGTTTGAGGAGATCCGTGATTTCGGTTTGGGGGGGGGGGGGAAGATCCCATCTGCAGATAGCTGGTGTCCGATTTCACGGATAAGCTTGTGGTCAGTAAATCTGACTTTGTTTATGTAGCAACCCATTAGGGATACCTACACTGGAACAGATATTGCCAGTAAAGCTGATATGAAATATTCAAGGATCAATGGGGAGAGAGAGAGAGAGAGATGGTGTCCGGACTCCTGAGTTCGCAGCACTTTCTAAAAAGCCCAGGTGCATTGCTGCATGCCTGGGTGTTCTGAACTGAAGTGCTGTTTGGCCATTCCTGTCGCTGGTGTCGTGCGGGCAGCTGACCACTGGTGACATTAGATAGGTTTGCGCTTGAACAGCAGGGTGTCAAGTTTCACCTCTGCTGGCCAATTGGCATTACACAGCCATGTACATGTAGCTCGCCATGCTGTTGCCTGTACATAACTTAGCAGGAGTCCAGGAGCGCCCCAAATGCGCCTGGAAAGCATTCTTCGCAGTCCAGCTGCTCAAAAAAATCATAATAACCACACAGTATCACTATGCTGCAGCTAGCTTTGTGCTGCAGCTAGCTTTGTGCTGCAGCTAGCTTTGTGCTGCAGCTAGCTTTGTGCTGCAGCTAGCTTTGTGCTGCATCTAGCCAAAGAAAACAACAGTGTATTTTTCTTGCTCAAACATGCTAATAATTGTCACGACACAAACTTGGGCATTCCTGGCAAGCTGCTGGAGGACGGGGGTGGGGATTTGGGCAAGAATGAAATCTGATGGGGTCACAGCTGGCTCAGCACATGCTAGATGCTTTCCGTCACATCTGGTATTCAAACGCTGTCTGAAGCAGGATAGCCCAAGCCCTTTCTCAAGGAACCATACCCCTTGCACTAGCAGCTGTGTTCGCAGACAAACTTCCACTCCCATCCCGCCTCAGTCCATGCAAGTCTGCCTCAGCTGATCTGCTGTGGTAAATCTGGGAAAACAGCAGCAGCCAATTAGAGACACTCTATGGTAATGATCTTGTAGCTACTGTCTTGTCTGATAATAATTGTGTCTGGAGTTACCAGAATGATAGACACTGGTTCAGAACACTGTATGAGGGCTAAACTTTGAAGACGTGAAAACTATTATTGTAGGCTGGCCCAAGTTTCGTTCTCCCTGAAGACTCTTTGATTTTGGTTTCAGCAGTGGACAGATCACTCAGGCAAGGGTTAGCTGTGTGTTCAATGTGAATTGTAGTCCGGAAGCCAGTGTGCTGTGCCGGCCAGTGCAGGCTGTGGTGTGAACTGGGCAGCCAACCCTGGCAGTGATGATGATGATGTGTCTTTGTCTGCACACTGTTTGTGTGGTGAACTCTGTATGTGGGCACTCTGTGGCATTGTGGTGCAGGCCAGAGCATGCAAGCTGTGAGGCATGGTATTGTTTCACCTCCGGGCAATGGCGACAATCTGTAACTGGCTGCCTTGTTTGGCAATTAAATAATTCCACAGCCAGGAGGAGGCAGGCGTAATTAATGGATTTGATAATGGCTATGCTTTTGATAGGCCTGTGGATTGTAAAATGGAATGTGGATCACACTGGACTCAACCATGCACTTGTTACCCGTGGCAAAGCAGATCTCCCCTCCCCCTCACCCCCCCCCCCCCCCCCCCCCTGACTTTCCACCTTCTCAGGACCAGGATGCTAAGAAACAGCTAAGTACGTTGAAGCTTGGCTAGGACTTTATTTGACTTTACTGGTCTATTTTCTGTGGCTGGGAGACCATTGTTTTTTGGACAAGGGGTGGTATGATAATTTAGCAGGACTAAGTGGCTTTGAACATACTAAAACCAGAAGAACGTTTTGGTTTTTTTTACATTGCGTACCTCCCCTATTTCTTGTTGATGATGATTTGCACTACATGTACATGTAGTTGTAGATGTTTGCTAGAGGTGCCTTTGAGCAATTATTATACTAGTACTGCATTGTTGCTAATGTCGTGGACCAGGTGTTCCATGCAGCAAGCTGCAGTCCGACACTGCACAGCTTCTAGGGTTCATGTCTGTAATAGTTTGTGTCCCTGCTGAGTGCAAAGATCACACTTGAGAGCCCAGAGGCCCGTGAATGTGATCTGCTGTACTTGATGAGAAATTCTGTCTATTGTAAGCTGGTGCAACACTGAGGAGGTTTGTACCATACTAGTATGAAGCACCGACCATAGTGTGGGGCTCCCACACAGCCGCTTTAGGCCTCACTCTGTTTTGTTGCTCCGGAAGTGTTTCTTCTTGTAGCCAGTACTGGGCTGGGTTAGAGTAGGACTTGTCTCTGCCTGCCTTGTGTAAGAATGCTGCTTGGAGTTCATGGACCAGGGCTAGGCTAGTCAGGAGCACAAATTGCCCGGGGTGACTGACTTTGCCTGCAGACACGTGTGGACAGGTTGATTGCGGGCTGCTACAAGAGAGCTGGGGTGGCATGCCAGGCCTTTACAGTGTGCGGTGGGATCTTGTAAAGAGACGGCACGCCAGCCAGGTGCGCAGGTACAGTGGAAGGGCCGTATCTGGCCATTTGCCCAATTAGTGTCCCACTGCCTTTCACGCTGTGCTGGATAAAATAGCTTCCGTGCTGGTCCTGTGGTGAGCCTGTCCTTGCCTGTGCTGGGACGTGTGCTTGGCCTTGAGTGGTCAGCTGAGAGGCTGGCTGGTTTATCAGTGTCGTTACATCTTTGACCCTGCTGTGCTCCTAAGAGAGACAGAACGTGGCGAAAGCCCTCTTGGGCATATTGAAATCAGGACGGCAAGCATTTGTAATGTAGACCCACTTAGAAGGGCCAAGTCTGCAGCCATAACTATGTTAGCCTTGCTGGAAGGAATCTGGACAAAGCTATGCTCACTACGGAGATCACAGGGCATTTATCACACATGCAAATGCTCTTGGCTGGGGCACTGTGGGCAGTCATTTCAGTTTTCTCTCTTTGACTTTGGGCCGGCGCAGCATTGTTTTTGGCCGAGAAGCAAAGGGCCGCAATGCTAATCCTGTTCAATTGCATTTGATCATAAGTGCACGGAACGCCCTTGCTGTGTTGAATGCTGGTGGTTTGCCGTTGCATAGATGACAATGCACGTTTGTCCTTGATGATCTGTTTGTGACATCACGTCATCATATTGAAGCACAGAGTGGGAAATGATAGCTAATGCCTGCCATGAAAATTGCACACCCATAAAAGACCCTGGTGCACTTGTATTTGAACTTGGACTGATTGGTACTGACGCAAATGAGAGTTTAGCATTGAATTTGCCCTTCTTGTAGAGCATGCTCCAGTGCTTGGTGTCTGTGGTATTTCAGCCATTTGCAATGAAATACGAATCTATTCCACGCAAAACAGACTTCTACATGGTGATGGGCGTCTTCTCTAATTTCTCTGATTTGTTTCTCCTGCTTGTCGTGCGTGCACAGGAGTCGATCCGATCGGCATCACAGCCCTACCACCATGCGCCGAGTTCATGCAAGCCATGTTGGTGACCGGAGAAAGCTGTCACATGGAGGTGCCTGCCCTGTGTCCCCGCGACGACGAGGACTGCATACAGGAATTCCGTCGCCGGAAACACCACCGTCCCCGCGGCGGCGATGATGATGACGACGCGAGTGCTAGCGGAAGTGGCAGTGGAAGCGGTAGTGGTAGTGGCGAGAGCGGTAGCGGAAGCGGCGATTGGGGGAGTGCCGGCTCCGGCTGGGAAGTACCGACCGAATCGCCGCAGATCCAGTGTCTGGACGAGTTCCGCAACCCACGATCGGTTGTTTGTCGACGTCTCGAGAGTACCGGCCCTGGTGCAAAGGTCACCAGTGCAAAGGTACCAACCACTGGTACGCCCACCTCTACCACACGGCCAACACTGCCAAATGCTAAACCAACGACAGGTGTGATTCCGGACACCAAGGAATCAGTCATGACCAAAACGGCTGTGACGGAAGGCACAGAGGTCTCGGAAACGACCGAGAATGATAATGATAAGTTTGTCACCACAGCCGACAACGTTCATACCGATGACGTCACCACCGACCAAGCTGCTGCTACGTCCGAGAGAGATCTGGAGACGCCCAAGGTCACGGTGATGAGAGAGACCGACGTGAACATCGAGGAACATGACGCGGAGGCGGACGGAAACGAGCAGATGGTCACGATCGTCGGTATCGGCGTCGGCGCCTTCGTCGGCTGCGTCATCTTGGCTGTCATAGCAACCATCCTGGTGCTGCGTTTCAAGCAGAATCAGGAAACGCACTACATGGTGGACGCGGAGATCAACAGCCAGCGGAGCGGCAGCAGCGGCAGCAACAGCAGCGCCACCAGCACGACGCCACTTCAGAAGAAGTCGCCCAAGACACAAGTATTCGTATGAGCTCTATTTACCGTCTGTTCCTTGCACCTGACATAGGCTAAGTTTGACCTCGTGAGTATGTGCTCCTGCCGATATCTACTGCAAGGAACTACTCGAGAGGGAGAGCAACACACAGCAACTGAATTCTAGCACCTTAATTGAACATAATACTCCAAGCCGTGCCCGCGCGCGCGTGTGTGTGTGTGTGTGTTTGTGTGTGTGTGTGTGTGTGTGTGTGTTTTAACTAATGTGCGTGCAATAAACGCACTTGCGTGTTGCACTGCGTCCGGTCAGCCGAGCCGAGATCTGAAAATTCAGTGAAGTGTGGCGGGAGATGACAAGGAGCCTTAGTATCTGTGCTACTTTCTACCACCAATACCATTCATCAACATTTTCTTGTAGAGTTGCCCTTCTTCTGCGCTCTCCTATGTGCATCGGCCAGATTTCCTCGTCCACTGATGGAACATGTCCAGAATTTCAGAATTATCCACGTCCCACCCTGCACCATGCCGTACCGCCAGACATGATTGTATCCGTTATGATTTCCGTTAGCGTCAGAGCCCCTCAATGTAGATCCTTTTTTCTTTACTCGCAACTATTGAACGTACAACCCTACAACCTATAAGCACTAACGACTCATCCCCTGCCAAGGCCGTGAGCTTGAATCTTCCCTGTGTTCGATCACTTCATGCGCATGTTGACTACTGCTGCTTTTCCTAAGACATGTACTCACCGATGTGACGCGAAGTTGGGTGACAGCCGTTGTTTCTCTCTATGTTTTGCTTTCTTTGCGCAAGCAACCTTGTGATCAACCGCTGTTCCTGCCGTCTATGCGTATTTGTTTCATGGTTGCGTTCCGTATATTTGCATTCTTTCAACCCCTCTGGATTTTTGGGGCTCTGTGATTTTCTGTATGGCGCTAAGCCTTCGCCAGATATTGTGATGCTGTACATACGAAAGCTGTGACGCGGTTGGTTGCTGTGCATGCGCGTGTGAGTCTGAACGTCCCAAATGTGCAGAGTGTGTGTGTGGGTATGTGCGTGCGTGCGTGCGTGTGTGTGTGTGAAATATTAAAAAGACCAAAAAGTAGGGATTCACTGGCCAGAAAAAGCCACTTCATAGCTGTGTGGTGTAGACCAGGCTGAATAGTGGCGGTCGATTCTTCAACCTTGCAAGCTGTGGAATAGTGCAATCCCAGCACAAGCTGCTATGGCTTCTGCTGTAGCATTGCTATCATCGCCTCCGGCGATGGGCGTCCAATGGTCCAATGGTGTGTGTGTGTGTCTTTGTGTGGCTTTCGGAATGCTGAAATCAACTATTGTTATTAACACTTGATGATGCCTCTCATGTTAGGATAGATGGTGGTGATTGGGGTCCACCACTTGTCAGTCTTATTCGCACCTAATTACAGCAAAGTGCTGCAAACTGGCGCCATGGATACATGTATGATGGTGGTGACATACGCATTCCTTCTGTTTTTGTACTTGTACGTTCAGGACAAACTGCCGGTGGAATCCCTGCAGGGGGGGGGGGGGGGGGGTAGAAAGACTCGAAAGAGAGGCCGTCCGTAATTTATTTCGATCTTTTTCACGAAGAGAAAACGTTTCCTTTATGAGTGGGTGGGTTGAGGAGAGTTTCGTTTTGAAAAATTATTGATAGCTGAAACATCAATCCATTCAATAATAATAATTGTCCGCTTCTTCTACATGACATGTCATGTAATTAGAAGAAGCCGACAATAATTATTATTGCTTTTATTGGCTAATAGCTCTAGTCAGGTAGATATCATTAATAAAGGCCTGTAGTCACAAGCTTCATAAAAGCCTTGAGGAAAGACTCTCTTACTAACGGTAGAAAACACTTTGTGTTACACACGGGTAAACAAATCAACCAAAATCGCTTTTGTACTCTGAGGTTTTCGATCAACAGCCATGCACCGCCAATACATACTGTACTAGTATACTGTCTTTGCATGATTGAATACAATTATAGTAAAACCTGTCAAGGCGACCACCTGTCCTAGATCACTGAAACCAGGACAAAGGGATGCTATTTCCAGCCAAATGACCCTGGATAAGGCGACCACCTGGTAACAGAGACCACGTTTTGAAGGTCCATTGAGCGGTCGTCTTAGACAGGTTTCGCTGTATAGGGATTAGGTCAGGTCTTGTTAGCAACCTATTGCTACATTTATGCTGTACACATCTGTGTTTTTTTAGGCATAATATTTTTTAATCCCTTATACAGGGAAGTAAGGCCGCTGAATCCAAACATGCATGTATCGTCAGTCGAGCATTCATAAACTGTAGATTCAGCTGTGACTCCCCCCCCCCCCACCCCCCCCCCCCCCACACACACCCCCCCCCCCCCACTCCCCCCCCCCCCCACACACACACTCCCCCCCCCACACACACAGGAGAAAGTGGAACAGTGATTCAGGTTGCAACGCAGAGTTTCACGTGATTCCATCCTCGGGCAACGGCAAGAACGAAACGAAAGCGCCGTTATTGTGTAGAATCACCTTTGATTCCGTTGCAGAGAATCAAAAAAGCACACTAAAACAAGATATCTTTAGTTCTAATCTGTATTTGCAGAAGGGAAAAGAGAAGATTCAGTATGGAACATCAAACATTTCTAGAAAGCTGATCTTCAGCAATGAGCACCGTAGGACTGTCCTCAAATCATTCTTCATATTAAAAGGATTTCAAGTTGGAACATTTCAACAGTGTTAGAAGTCTAATTCAGACCTTATAATATAGTGCTGGTCTCTCTCTCTCTCTCTCTCTCTCTCTCTCTCTCTCTCAGTAAAGAAAAATTCTATTTTGATTACATTCAATGTCTCTCAAAACCTAGTGAAAATCTCACCACATAACACAGCAAAACTAATATTTTCAGCTGATCGAGTCCTATAAATTGCCGGCATCTCTAAACGGAAATCCATTGCTTTGAGGACGAGCCTGATGCCATCACAATGGTACTCGTGTATTGCTAATGGACTATGCCAAGTCTGCCTGGCAAACTAGCTGCATTCTCCAGTTAAAGAAAGAGAGCATACCCCAGCTGAGATATTTTAAATGTGAGTAGGGACGAGGGGGATGAACTGATTTCCAAATACGCTTGGTCAGGTACTAAGTGCAAGTCACAGCGCGTGTCACCAATCACATTTCTTGCGCAACTTCCACACTCAGTGGAGACGGCATGGCACACGTACATGCCATGACAAGACTAGTATTAGTAACGACTAAAACACCCGAATAAAATGGACGCCATTTCCCCGTATAATTCAGCACAGCCTGGCGCTACTTGTGTTTTACCGTTTGAAGTTTCTACAATGACAATCATCCCACAGGGTGATATGAGTATCCTGAACGAACCACGACAGCTTGGTGCCGTCAGTGTTTCTGTTGCCACGGCGACCATACCACGGCGCAGCACCGCCTATCACCATCATGTACTGTCCAGGGTAACTTGGCGTTCGAAGTGTTTCTGTCGCCATGGCAGTAAACCCGCAGGTCAACACTGTGCCTATCAGCATCCTTTATGGTCCAGAGCTGCTTGGAGTTTCTTTTGTTTCAGTTTCCATGGCGATCCTACCACAGGGCAACACTGCCTATCATCATCATTCTTAATGTATCATCCAAGACAGCTTGGGGTTACTAGCGGTTAACGATTGCAAAAAAAGCCTGCGAGGCCATACTGTCTATTTGCAAACTTTGACTTGATATTGGTTGGTTGGATGTCTGACGGTCAATGTCATGTTACTAACCAGAGGCGTCATGGCCGGTGCAAGCTTCTCGTTGCCAAACGCTTTAAACAGCAGCACAGTCAGCGCGCTCTGGTCGAAGCGCTGGCAGCCGCGGTAGTCGTACGCATTCTTGCCGCGAGCGCAATCTGTGTACACGAGACCCCCGGGGGCTATGCACTGTTGGCGGAGTGCGCACTGCACCCACGGTGCCAGGATACGCTGCTTGACGAACGCTGTACCGGTGATCAACAACACCCCCGCGGCGGCCATCGACACTTTGTGGAAGTCGCTAGGAGCGACGTCGAACGACCGGTACGTCAGCGGGTGCGTGTAGGCGCTAGCGGGTCCCAGGGTTTTCCTGGAGAGTATGCCGACGCTCTGCCACAGCGGTATGAGCGAGGACATGTGAGCGTTGAAGCGAGTCGACGCGTCGCAGTAGATGACGGCCTTGAACTCCTGCAGAGCAGCCTGCGCGTTCAGGCACATTCAAGCACACACACACGCAACGGCACACACGAGTGCACGCACACGCACGCACACACAAAAATACAGTAACCTTATTAGCACGGCACAAGTCAGAAGCACATCACGTATAAGAGAGCTATTAACTGAGGCAGATCAAACAAGTTGGTCAATGACCGAAGACGAACGCAGAACAGCTCGACATCTGAAAATAGTTTCCGACTGTCTCATAGCATGCATGCGTTCCGTTCGGAATTCAGATTGAATACCAATGTGCATGGGTTGCAGGAGGGGGGGGGGGGGGGGGGGGAGGGGGTGGCACCAAGGTCAGAAGGTACAGAAGGAAAGTCAGTATGGAATAACGAATGAGAGGGAGCTCAACACGGGCATATAACTATCCAGCACAGTTCCACTAGCAAGCAAGTTCAATATGTAAATATCTGCTAATGCTAGTGTTGAGATACGAAAGGTCTTATCCTCCCAAACACAACGGACAACGGGTAGGTGGAACGAACTTTATTATGGGAGACGAAGAGAAAGGCCGACTACATTATGGAAAAGAGAGAGTTAGAGTGCGAGAGAATGCAAGATAAAGGCCATGGTTAGCTATGGCAAATATGGGTGCGCAAGAAGCTACCCAGGCCAACGGAACGAAACGTGAGTACGGGGTGCTGGCAGGCCAGCTTGGGAAAGATTGTAGAATGTCCGGGAGGAGGTACCTAACACCAGTCTTCGACCCTCCTGTTGGCTATTCTGTTTACGTAATCTGATAAAGCGTACTATCGCTTTGTGGGAACATTATCCGGAGCACGGGTGTGTTGATACATACTGAAGTATGCTGGGATAGGAAGTACAGTCGTGACCAAAGCACAACAGCAGAGAACAGCATCAAGGCTTGGGCGGATCATGAAGCCCTCGGACAGGCATTTGAACCGTGCATGATGTATCCGAAATGGAATCGCCGCGCTCCTTTTGACTCGCGGGTCCGATTTCTCTAGTCACGACATTTAAGGATACTAGGTACAGTGAACTTGGCTAATAACGACTGCGGATATAACGACGATTCGCGAATAACGACAGAATTTCCATGCCCAGGGCAAAGTTCCATCCAACTGTAATACATATAATGAGACTTCCGGTATAACGACACTTCGCGAATAAGGACACTTTGTTGATGCCCCGCCGAGTGTCGTTATAAGCGAAGTTGACTGTACACAAGTTTCTGCTGTACATTGCATCGGTACATCATATCAGAGAGTTCTACTGTATTGTCTTCTGACATTTGACTCAATTCTGGGCTACCAATATTCGATGATTGCGCACACACCGGAGCTTCTGACATTTCTGCATGGATGTCTGTCACGGCGAAATTCCATGATCACATCCTAGTTGGTGCAGATATGCGGCAAGCAGTGGAGTTTTTATTATTATTATTATTATTTATTATTTTGCTTGTTCGCGTTGGCATCAACCTGCATAAAGCAGGTATATAGCCTTCGCTTAAGCTGCCATAAAAAAGAAAGCTCATCCTAAGCGAGAGGGCTAGAGGAAAAGATAACGATAACGAGATACAGAATACAAAGAAATACAATGAGTTAAACATACGTATACAGTTCAAAACAAAACAGAGCAGAGCCGAAGTTACTAATCGGAGTGACGAATGCGTTGGTTCCGATTGATCCATCAATCGACAAAGAGACTAATCCGTTAATATTGCAAAGTAGAAACCGATTGCAGTTGCAGATCTCCAGGCCAGGGCCAGCATATTGCCGATTCTGGATAGGTCTCTGCAGCATTTGATGTGGTAATTATTATCATAATTAGTGATAAAATTGTTAGAGTATCTAGAGTATCTAGTGTAATTGTATCCGATATTATTGTTAGAGTATCTAGTGTAATTGTATAACTTCAGCCACTACACACAGCACACATTAGTTCCTTCCACTTTCGACGATCCTGGGCAAGCTGCCTCAGTGCAACTAGATCCTCGTGTGATGTGAGGGAGTTTGTGGATCTGGAATTTTTCAGGTCGTTGTTGATAGATCGCGGGAGGGTTGTTCTCGGGCGGCCTCGGAACCCTGAGCTTCCTGGTTGAAAGTATGCTGACATAGCCTGCTGGACCGGGGATGAGGTGTCTAGTCGAAGCATGTGGCCAAGCATTCTCCACCTAGCAGACTGGATGATTCTGCTGAGTGGCTTGGAGCCAGTGCGCTTGTACAGTGCTTCATTGCGTATTATACGGGGATATTTGACCCCTATGACTGCCCGTAACTGCTGGCGGTGGAACGAGTCAAGTTTCTTTTCTTGAGTCTCTGTCAGGCTCCATGTTCCGCAGTTATAAAGAAGTATTGGGAGAATAAAGCTGCTGTATAACCTAATCCGAAGGGGTTCACGGGCATGGTTACCTCTTAGCCATATCACCCACAGCTGATGTAAGGCACATGTTGCTAGACGTTTTCTCCGACTGATATCTTCCTCCACTCCAAGCATCGATCCCAGTTTGACCGTGTTCCGCCATCGCTCATCTACTCTGTCCTTTTCTCTTTTAATTGTAGTATATTCGGTTTTGGCTTCATTCATTTTTAAATTGTATTCCGCTAACGAGGATGATAGTATGGGTTGATTGTCGTGCAAATATTGTAGGCTGGTGCTGATGAAGTCTACGTCATCCGCATACGCTGTTTCATTGGGCAATTGAAGCTGAATATCCAATGCTGGTCGCGGTGAGAGTCGCTCTCCAATCAACCTCAATGCAGCCTCGAGGTAGACAGTAAACAGGACTGGCGATAGAGAATCACCTTGTGGGGTTCCATTATGTGTGACTAATGGTTGGCTGAGAATGTTATTCAGCTTTACTTTTATTGTGGTGTCTGTCAGAAGGCACCGGATTATGTGCAGCTCATCATGATCAATGACTGATGACAGTATATCGATCAGCCTGACCCTCGATATAGTGTCAAATGCCTTTGACATATCAATGCCTAAGATTGAGATCTCCGACGCAACCCGTTGGCATCTTGCTGATAACCACCGATAGCTATATACCACGTCTCCAGTACTTCTCCCTGACCGGAACCCGCTCTGGTTCAGTGACAAGTACCCGTTGATAGCTGGCTTGATCCGCGTCAGGATGACCAATGAAAGAAGTTTCCGTAGGGTGTTCAACAGGGTAACCGGCCTTACATTTCCAGGAGGACCTCTTTTCTTTCCCGGCTTTGGTATCGGGATCAGTAGCCCATCGCCTAGCTTGAGTGATTTGTCTTTGGCATAATTGTTGAATGTTGTGGCAATGTTCGAGAACAGTGCTGGTGTTCCATATTTGATAAGTTCAGCAGGTATCCCATCTGGTCCCGAAGCTCGGCCATTATTCAAGCGCTTAGCTGCGGCATGTACCTCTGTCTGCTTTATAGGGTTTTTAAGGTCTTCCTCTGTCCGTAAGAGCCTAGATGACTCCAGAGCAGGATCACAGAATATAGCACGGAAGTGTTGCCTTAATGCTTCGACTGATTCACTAGGTTGTGCAATGAGTTTGCCATCAGAGTCTTCAACCACAACTGGTGACTGCTGCTGTCGGCGCAGTAGTCGTGTTGCTTTGAACATTTTTGCGTCGTCTTTCATTTGGTCTATTTCAGCTACACGTTCGTCCAGTCGAGTCGATGCTAACTTGAGGCATTCCCGGCGAATTTGGTGTGCCAGCCTGTTGCGTCGTGTTTTCATTTCTTTTACCTTCGTTCCATCTCTGCACACCGTAATGTCGAGACGCAGTTTGCGTTTCTCTGCTGCTAGCTTTTCAATTTCCCCGCTGAAGCCATTTCTATGCGTCTTGTTTGTTTTAGGGACGCGGCCCACCGATGTGTTTGCTGCCTCACTCATAGCGTTCACAATATACTGCAGATGTTGCTCCGCACTGACACCTTCCTGCTCTCTGCCGAGGTCCTGTAGATGTTCTTTGATAGCCTCTCTGTACTTTGCTTTCTTGGTCGGGTCACTAAATTCCGATATATTGAATTTTGAATTGCTGGATATGGCTACTGGGGGCCTCTTGAGCTTCTTGTACAACTTTGTCAGGTTGAGGTTTGCCAGCACAAGACGGTGATCGCTTTCTAAGCTTGTCCCGGCGTATGATCTGGCATCCGTCACCACAATCCTTTCACTGTGACGGCAAAGGATATAATCTATTTGGTTGTAAATGGGTAAAGGTGGACCTCCACTAGGGTTGTGGCGCCAGCCTGTCCATGTGGTGATATGTTCTGCACGGTGCTGAAACGCCGTGTTACAGGCAAATAGGTAATTGCTGGACGCGAAATCAGCCAAAGTCTGGCCGCTGTAGTTGCGATGGCCCCTTGAGTGTGAACCAGCATAGGATATGGAGTGGCAGTCACTGGGTGGTCGTTTCCCAAGTTTTGCGTTGAAGTCTCCCATCAGGAACAGCAGCGATGAAGACCTTAGTTTTTGAATTGTTTCCAGCAAGCTGTTGTAGAACTCGTCTAGGCATGAATGGTCTGCTGCAACGCATGTTGACGTCGGGGCGTAGACATTCACAAATGAGCACAGCGTTCTCCCGGGGAGCCATAACTGTAGCACGGCGATACGGTCCGACACCTGCCAATATCTATATATTCGGTGCAGTAACTGCTTTTCCACCACGAATCCGAGTCCATAATGTCGACACGACGACGAGAGACACAGTAGACGGTAGTTGTCAATATTTACATCGTAGCCTTCGGAGATTTTAGTCTCCTGAAGACAGCAGAGTCCAACTCTGTATTTATTGAGGTCTGAAATAAGTTGATTTTTTTGGAAATTTGAAGTAAGTCCACGGACGTTGAACGTACCAATGCGAAACAAGCCCTCGCCTTTCGCTCCACTACTCAAAATACTTCCACAAGCTTGCCTGTTTCCTGGCGAAGAAGACATTACCCATGGGCCAGCGGAAGCTGACGGCCATGACCGAGCGGCGTCACTCGCTCTCCAAACAAAGCAGTGGAGTAGTGCGCACAATTGAGCTGCAGTTGTTCAGCAGGAGACCTGCTTGAATCCTGCTTTTATGCACATCACTAGAATGCGGTAATCCCGAAATCCCATCGTGAAAAAAACCCATCCCAGCTGCACACTCTTGGTTTCATGCAGCATTCCGGGTTTAGGAAATACTCTAGTTTCACAAAATTTCGGTGGTCAATATTTCAATATTTTCGGTACGAGGGCAAAAGACCAGGTTATGTGAATGGAAATGTTAGGTACAGAGAAGCATTTCCCTATTGGATTATGTGTGTTAGTGTTTGTTTGGTGTATTGAAATCTTAGGTACGAAACAGATGCACCGAAAGTGCCGGAAATAAAAGTATACCCAAAATTTGTGAAATTACAGTACTGGCCAACAGACTCTTGTTGGCTGGCTGTCTCTCTAGTGTATAGTCAGTCGCCAAGGTTACATGAGTGTCATGTGACACGTAACACGTGATAATCAGCCTTACCTGAATGATCAGCGGTTTCCAAGCACATGCCTTCAGCCACCGTACATGCGGTGGGTACAAGCTCAGGTCGATGTTGCGCAGCTTCACCCAGCACAGCGTTTTCAACTGTGCAGTTGGACACATAAAGAGCCGTAATTCGTTATTGCCATCTTCATTCGGTGCGTCAATTCATAGTACAGGAAAACCTGTCAAGGCGACCACCTGTCCCAGAAGACCACTGGAACTAGGGATGCGATTTCCAGTCGAATGACCCTGGATAAGGAGACCACCTGGTAACAGAGACCAGATTTTGAAGGTCCCTTGAGCGGTCGTCTTAGACAGGTTTCACTGTATTATTATAGGTTTTCATTTCACTCGACGAGACTACACGACGTCTGCAGAGGACAGCACCAACAGTTCACCAGCCGGTTCTCCATGATAGCAAGTAGTGTTACTCCTGAAAAATCTTGTTCCATTCCACGAGATGACGGAAAGTCGTCAGAGCTATCTTGCTATCGTGGAGTGTGGCTGGTGAACTGCAAGCGTCGTGTGGTCTCGTCCGGTCAAATCAAAGTATCCTTAGCAGGGGCATCGGAAGGTATTTTAGTAAGGTACGGTAAGCCATCTGAAGTACAATTTACTCGTGTGGGAGTGGTGGCTGAGTCGAATATTTGGGAAATTTAGAGCCCAGATCAGTGCATCATATTGATTCACGGGGTCATCATCATCATCATCACAAGCCCATAGCCTTAAGGCCGTCGGGGCATCATAGAGCCAGTATGAACAAGCGAGCGCCATAAAAATCGATCGCGTGCAGCAGCGAGCAGGGACTGCACGTCAAGTGCACGGGGTACCTGGGGACAAGTGAGGTACAGTCAATACCGTAGTGACTAGGGCTGAGTCGGGTAGCATTTTCTTCGGGTATCGGGTCCGGGTAGTTTTCCACGGGTAGCACGGGTACCCGATCGGGTAATGTTTCCATGGTAAGACCACAATGCACACCGGCCCCTTCCCTTGCGCACTGGGTAGACATGCGTGAATTATTTGTACATGTGCACTGTACATGATGTCATATGCGACTGCGGGTTTTCGGGTACTATTCGGTACCCGTCTACCCGAGGTCCTCACGGGTAGCACGGGTACCCGACTACCCGTGCACACCACTAGTAGTGACCGTACCGTGTCCGACGCCCCTACTTTTACGAGCACGCAAGAGCCACCGCATCGTTGAGACACAAAATACCGGTACGCAGTACACAGTGGGTGCAGAGGTCTACGGGCAACAAAACGGTATCAGCGGCAGTAACTGAGCAGCGCCACGAGCACAACACCACTTCGGAACATCACAGAAACAGTAGGCAAGAAACACGACAAGGACAAGCACACTGCCGCATTACAATATTGCACAGGCTATCAACGGTGACAGGCCAGGGACGTAGACCGACTTGTTCATGACATGCCGGAGAAAAAAAGAATTTTTTTTCACGGATCGTGTGAGACTCGGCCAAAGGAAAACAGGTACATTAAAACCTGCCCGAAACGGACCGACCCCCTTGGTGCAGTGGAAACTGTCCTGATATGACAGGATTCCGCTTGATCCAGGGATGCATGCTCGCTCCACAGCACTTTGGTGCCTGAACATTTGTCCGGTCCATACAGGACTATGATTGGTACCGGGTCCAGCAAACACAGGTTTTACTGTAATTCCTACAGTTTTCGACCTCAAAACAGTGTTTTGCTACCATGCGCCGATGGCTAGCCTGCAGAATCTACATGGCCGGGAGCCACGTCAAGTGAACCCACGGGCTTTCCCCTTGTAGCCGTGTCAAAGGAAACAATAGCAACCTAGATGGCGAAGACTACAGCTAAAGCATGTGAGAGCATGTAGAGAGGTTGTAGAGAATATGCGTGAAAAGTGCTGCTCAATGAAATCCAGTCGTGTCACTCGAGTGTGCGCCTTGCACCCTTTTGAAGCCCAGTGTTCGTAGGTCTAGGGCTGCGCAGCGTCCGGCGAGTACTTGAGAAACTCGACTGGTTTTCATTGAGCAGCACTCTACATGTCCTATCCGAGCACATACCTGCAAAACGGAGTGAAGACTCAGGCCAAGATTGTACACAAGTATAATCTTCTTGGCCATGTGGTGATGACTGGACGCGATCATGTCTATCGCTTCCCTGTAATGGTTCTCCGAGATGCCCGTCACGATCGGTGCGCGGTGCAACGACAAATACGGCACGAGCGATGCATTGCCCTCGGCGCGGAACTCGGCGAACGTCTGACCCGAGACCATGATTGGGCGCGAGGAGTTCTCCACCGACACGTCTAACGTCGCGTTGGACTCCTGCGCGATGCGAGCAGGTTCGGCGCCCGGCGCCCTGCGTATCATGTGCACGAGCTCGCTGGAAAAGTAGCGCCGTCCTCGTATGATGACGTCCTTCACGCACCCGCCACCTTTCTCGACCTGCTGCACGCCCGCACCCAGACCCAGAGTCCTCCTGGCAATGGCCTTGACATCGTCCAGTATTGGCGCCTCGACGCTCAGCAGGTGCAGTCCGCTGTTCGTGTTGATTTCGATGCTTCCCTTGCGCAGGTGAGTGGTGTTGCACAGCTCATAGCTGGTCGGTACATCGTCGGCACTTTTCAGCGGCTTCTGACACGCATGTGCGGTATCGCCGACGTCCAAATCCACCGCCGCTCGCAGAAAGTAATCATCTTTAGTGATGCTCACCGTGTGCCATTGGTTGTCACTGAACCCCGCTGACCGCTCCACGAACACTGACACCGGGGTTTGCCCGGCATCAGCAAGCAGGTAGACGCGCCGCCCTAGCAACAACACTATCAGATGGTCTTTACGCGTGTTGACGCTCGGACGGCGATTCACCTCCGCAGCCAGCACCAGCGATTCCTTGCTGGTCTTGAACTTGAATTTTATTTCTGTTTTGGCCAGCGCTCCACCCTTGTCCATGGACGCAACGTATTTTATTGTTTTGTACTCCGGACTGCGGAAATCATAGCAGATTTTCGTGTTCATGTCGAGTGACTCTTTCAGCTGCTCCTCCAGTTGGTGAAACGCTGTTGACAGGTGACCTGCATCTGCTCTCGGTTCCCTGTCCACGCCAGGCTCCGTGCGATTCTCCCATGTCGGAATAAATTTCAATCGCGCGTCCAACACTAGATTTACTGCAGCCGTAAGCAAAATCACGCAGAGAAGATATCGAATCTGATTCTTGTGTTGGTTCGGACAGAGGAGCATCCTGCCCGTTACGAGTAGTAGTCTCCGCCGGTGTTCTGGAAAAGCAGCTCGCTAACGACCTACAAGACTACATGCACTAGGATCATGTAGTTGTCCGTTGTCCGAAACTAAAGACTTCTTTAGGAAACAAATTAATTCCCGCAATCGCCCTCCATTCTTGTGTTTACAGAGATGGCATGCGATGCATGCATCATATCATTGCATGCTTGGATGTCTTTTCGAGTCTTTCAGGTGTTGTTTTTCAAATCATTAAATTTCGCAGTGTAGATCTACGTGTGTTGTGACAACCCAGAACTGAAGTACTCAGCATCTGTCAGAGCCGGGGGCTAGCACTACGTGGGCTCAAGTGGTCACTCCGCATACCGGCTCTAGCAGCATTGAGTACTCGACTGTTTTGTGCATTGTTTTCGTGTGGAGTAGATCTGCTCCTAGATCCTGTACGAATCATGTGACCATAATCCACTAGTATTTTGGCAGCCCACTTCAGTACTTCAGCCAGTGGATGGATTTCACCATACCCGTAGGATCATGATGAAGGGTCTACCCCTACCAACACAAAATCTATGAGCTGAGATATCAAGAGTAAAATTCATCTACACTTAGTCACATGATTATTGTATTCCAACAAAATGGCTACACGTGAGGAACATGTATGGGCAAAGTCTCCACTCTCCCACTCCCCGTCCCAGTACAGTCGACTCCACTTATAACGAACTCGCATATACATGTAGCGAATTTCGTGATATAGCGAACCCTTGTCCATGTCCCTGTTTGAGCCCATGCAAAATTGACCCTTTTATAATAGCGAACAATTTTCGTTTATAACGAACCAAATCGTGTAGGGCCGCATGCAAACCAAGTGCATTCATACTGTCATGGACCACTTGCCAGTTATTGACTTGCAAAGGATGGCCAGGAAGATGAACAGTGTAATGCACAGGAATATGCCAGGCTACATAATTCACTCCCCCCCCCCCCCCCCCCCCCCGCGTTCTTTGGCACAGGAGATCATTGACATTGCAAGTTGTCCCCCGACCCCTCATTGCTGTCACAGCTGTGCAAAATTAAGGAGGCCATTAGCCAATTCGGAATATTATCATTCAGAGACCTGCTCTGTCTCAAAGGGAGGCTTGCTACCTAACAGTATAGTAAAGTAAAGTTTGCACATCCAGGTTAGGGGGAAATGATGTCAATGAGAAAACAAACAAAAACTCCAAGAAACGGTGAAGATGTACTCAGTGAATGAAAATGGCTGCCACGATCATTGTTACACTTGATCACATAGTTCTTCATCACGCAACAGTATGTTGTCCCCAGCTGCAACGTGGACATTACGCAGGCTGCATTAACTCATGGGGACAAGGCACACGCACACAGAGCAGTTTACGCCATTCGGGACTCGGCCGCCCACATGTCAGCGTTGTTTCCCATCGCCGTCTTCAGCTCGTCTGTCATGGCGGACATCTTTGCAAGTTGCTCCTAGAAACAAGCAGCAAGCCCAACAGCACAGACACAGGTCAAGCTTCAATGGATACACTTGTGCTTCAACAAAGTCAGGACCAATGAGTAGCAACTGAAGACAGAAACAAGTGGAGGGGGACTAGCTCACATGGTAGAGCGCTCGCTTAGCATGCGAGAGGTACCGGGATCGATACCCGGGTTCTCCAGCCAATCTTTTTTTTTTAAAGGATCATTATAGCAGGTGCGAGAGGTACCGGGATCGATACCCGGGTTCTCCAGCCAATCTTTTTTTTTCAAGGATCATTTTAGCAGGTGCGAGAGGTACCGGGATCGATACCCGGGTTCTCCAGCCAATCTTTTTTTTTCAAGGATCATTATAGCAGGTGCACCGGACACGCTACGGTCACTACGGTACTGAATGTATCACTTTTTTTCACCCCAGCCACATCGTGAATCAATAAAACTGCATGAATTTGGACTTAAAATTTCCCAATTTTTCAAAAGACCCCCCCCCCCCCCCACCACCACCAGCACTTCACATGGTTGATCATACCCCCAAAAATATTATACGGACGCCCCTGTCGTACTAAAGTGTTCTGAACATTGACAAGTTTACAGTGCAGCGACCAGGTTCTAAAGAATAGAGTTGTTTCACATGTTTGTCATGTGATGAAATAATATAATATGTCATTACAACGCTAGCCTACAACATTGCCACTGCTAACACCTCTTACAACTGCTCTCAGACTCCTACCCCTCCGCGACATGCCTTCCGCAAGGTTACACCCTCCACTTGGTCAATGATCAACTCTGCACTTTTTGCCTGTGACTGGCATCTTTTATTCACCGCCACTACTGTTGATGAAGCTGTGGAGAAGTTCACCACAGTTCTTGATGACGTGCTCTCCTTCTATGTGCCACAATACGGAGCAAGACCCGCTACACCCAAACATGGCAGCCACCACCCTCGTCAGTCCAGCCGTAACCCCAAGATCCCTTGGCTCGACAAAGATCTCCAAGGTGCAATTAAACTCAAATATGACTACTACAGCTTAAGTAAGAAGTACTCCACCTATGCTAATATTTCTTTATACAAAAAACAGCGCAATCTGGTGAAGTCATTGTCACGTTCTAAGTATTGAGCATATTTACGTTCGCTCACTACCACCCTATCTCACCCCTCTTCCAGGCCTAACCTGTATACCTTTGTTCGCACTCAAAGGACAACTAGTACACGTCAAGACATACCACCGTTATTAGCTTCCAATGGTTCGATGGTGACTGACCCCAAGTCTATAGCTAATACTCTCAATACGCAATTCACATCAGCTGGTATTCCAGACGACCATTCCTCTCCAATACCACCTCTGCAACGTTCTGTGACTGTGTCTTCTGATCTGCGCTCTATACATACCACCACATCATCTGTTCGCAGCTACCTAAAAAGACTAAAAAGCAACAAAAGCCCTGGTCCTGATGCCCTACCAAATGAAGTTCTCAAATTTCTGGCTCCATCTCTGGCGTACCCACTGTGCCTTATATTCAACCTTTCCTACTCCTCCGGCGTATTTCCTGATCGTTGGAAGATCGCTAAGGTCACGCCCATCTACAAGTGTAAAGGCTCCCGATCACAAGCCTCAAACTATCGTCCAATATCTCTTCTCTGCTCCCTTTCAAAAGTATGTGAAAAGGTATTTTACGACCAGTTGTATTGCCACATTTCACCATGCCTTAGCCCTTCCCAATCTGGCTTTCGGCGCAACGACTCAACCTCTGACCAACTAGCTCGTCTAGTACAAGACATTGCCACCCTTCGTGATGCTCGACACCATATTGCTCTCTGTTTCTTTGACTTGGCAAAGGCCTTTGATACTGTCTGGCATCGTGGCCTCCTTGCCAAGCTACATATTGTCTTTGGTGTGTCTGGCCCTGCTCTGTCCTGGCTGGAGTCCTATCTGAGTAGCCGATCACAGTTTGTTTCTGCCCTCTCCATCAACTCTGATCCTCTACCAGTGTCTTCTGGAGTTCCCCAAGGCTCCATACTTGGACCTCTTTTGTTCGTAGCATACGTAAATGATTTACCCTCTATAGACCCAGGTAAGAAAGGGTTTGCTCCCCACACCGGAGCTCGCGCTATTCCGCCGACTTTACTTGACACTTGACTGACTCACGACTGCCATCCAGAGCACACGAGATGTCCATCGAACCTTCGACTCGGCAAACCTGCAAGAAAGCACCACTCCCTGCTCAATACACAGTGTTTCGGGGAAGCAGTGGGGAGCAAACCCTTTCTTACAAATTATCGCCGAAGTCGCAACCACTACTTAGACCCAGGTGTCTCGTTATTTGCTGATGATACAACCCTACTGTCAGCATCCTCGTCCTCAGCGGCTCTTGTACCTCGAGTGTCGGCTCAGATATGCAGTGTCCTACGCTGGATGCAAACATGGCGACTTAGACCCAACCTGACTAAAACCGAAATAATGTTCCTTCCCCCAATCTCATCCATGTCACTTTTACACCATCCTGATTTCCCAGAACCTATAAAGGTTGTTTCCAACCATAAACACCTGGGAATAATGCTTGATGATCGTCTCTCTTGGTCTTTCCATATTGATGCTCTTTGCAGCCGTTCAAGCTCTGCTCTAGGTGTTATACGTCCCCATTGTTTCCATCTTCCTTTCAAATGTAAAATTTTGTTTTACAAACTGTACATCCTGCCTCTTTTCATGTACGCTGCTGTTAGCTGGTGTGGCTTGTCCTCGGTTCTCGCTGAGCGTCTCGAAATCCACCATAGAAAACTTCTTCGTATCCTGTTTAGTCTACCCCCTCTCTACTCTTCTGCTTCCCTGTATGTCCTTGCAAATGCTTGCCCACTGTCGACCCACCGTCAAAAATTAATTTGCACTTTTGCTCACAAATTTAAACTAGCTCTACATCCTCCTCATCTTAACGTGTATAACTGGTTCCGAATCACAGATGGCTCCCAGACAAGATGCTCTGTTGCCCTCCCCTTGGCTAAAACGTCCTCCCTTGTACGCTCTCCACTCTTTGTTGCTTACTCTGCTTGGCTTGCGCTGCCCGCTACTACGCGCAATGCCAGTACCCTGGACGCATTTAAATCTGCTCACTAGATTCACCATCACCTGTCCCTCCCATGCTTCTCCGTCTTGACCATTACTTTTCTTCTTTTATTCACCATGGTTGGTTAACACCCACATCTCCCGTACTGGCTGATTTTCTTCTCATGCCATGAGGTGTTGTTGTCTATAATAATAATAATGTGTAGAATGTGGTCATGGCTTGTGGACAGTGGAAGCAACTTGGCTGACATTATGTGACCAGTATATGCTAGAGTTTACTAGAGTTAGATCGGCATGGCTGCCTCGTATGGTGGTGTGATAGGCGTGAAACCGCTCTATTACTCTACGAGATCTGTTGCAGATCTATCACATGACTATACATGACAGCCATGTTGGTTCCAACACTAGTGAATCCCTGCGTCTATGGGTCATATGATCTGGTCAGCAATGTTGGTTCTACTGTCCGCATGTCATGTACACTATCTACACAAACGCAGTCAAATGGCCAAGATGTGTAACAGCTCTATGGTGGTTTTGCGTAAATTCGCCAATCATTTGAAAATAGACCTGGTTGAGCTTGCAAATTTACGACAGACCCTCTGAAAGGTTGTTAGACTTCTGGTATGGTCTGGACAGCGGTGAATCAGCCCAGCGAAGATTGCACTAGCACGAAACATCAAAGCCCGCATTTCAATGTGAACGTTGATGTTTCTTGAAATTGAAAACTTATAAGTTCCTATCCGAAAAATCGTCAAGATGTCCGCAACACCTTATCCATTGGCAGAACACCGTTGCTATAGCGATCGTATCAACTGCAGTGAAACCTGTCTAACCGCTCAACCCTAACCCTAACCCTAACCCTAACCCTAACCCCCGCTCAAGGGACCTTCGAAATGTGGTCTCTGTTGCCAGGTGGTCTCCTTATCTAGGGTCTTTTGACTGGAAATAGCATCCCTTGGTCCTGGTAGCAGTGGTCTCCTGGGGCAGGTGGTCGCCTTATCAGAGTGGTCGCCTTGACAGATTTCACTGTATGTAGGAGACTACTAGGGGTCTTACCTCAGTTAGGGTGGCCAGCTTGGCATTCTGCGACACTTGCTCCGGCGTGCGTGCTCCGACAATGCACGCCGCAACCTGGCTCTGGCCGGCAATCCAGGAGAGGGACGCGGTCGCCATGGAGCAGCTGAGGTTTGCTGCCGTGTACTCACGTACAGCGGCGATGGAGTCAAACGTCAGCTTCTCAAAGCCCGCCTGGCCATGGCGTGATAGTGAAGTGCTGGACAGAACAGATGATGAAATGGGAGGTAAGTTGAGAGAAAAGCAATGGAATACTTTTCGTATTTTGTTATTTCTTTACACCAGAACTAGAGTCAGAGCCTTCATGAAAGGTTAGCGATGCTCAACCCATATAAATTAGCGGGGGAAAAGTTACGTTTAGGTACGGACTAAACATTGCTGTACAAAATGTTATCATGGCTAAAGGGAGGTCTCATAGTAAGTGCAAATGGTTATTGCAAAATCATGTTCATTTCTCTCATCTGCATCCGTAGGAAAGCCACCAGCCCCAAGGATCAAGGCGGAGATGCAGCTCCTAAAGCGGTTAGGGTCATTTCGCAAGAATACCGTTATCTCTAGATCCGAAAAGGGGGCTTATGTCGTTTGGCGCAGTATTGAGAAAAATACATTTGAAGGTTGAGTTTTCCGTATAAATGTATAAATGCCCATTGAAACACCCATAACTCGGTGAAAGATAAAGATTGTGCACCTAGGTTTTTTATAGAGTGATCTGCTTGGGTACAGGAATGCCATGGTATAGACAACTCAAAATGCTCAAAAATGACATAAGCCCCCTTTTCGGATCTAGAGGCTCGTATAATTATGTGCATACACACATGACATGAAGACTAAACACTGACCTGGTTCCGGCAAAGTGCCTGGTTCTGCGGCGTCCCTCCGGTACATCCTCTGGCTTGTGAAACTTGCCGGTCAGCAGACCCTGCTGCAGCGGCGAGTAGGCCAGGATTGCGACGTTGTTCTCGCGGCATGCCGGTATGATGTCGCACTCCACGGCGCGCATCAGCAAGTTGTAGGGCACCTGAGCAAGAAGCAAGACGTTAGAGCAGTGTGGTATTGTTACTTTGCATTGTCCGTAACTCCGAATCAAACACATTTTGAAAAGACGAAGGACAAAATGTTACGTGTTATGACTAACTGTCCACCAACGTAACCAGACGTTATACAGTCAGCGAGTGCGACAAAATGGCACAAACCTGACAAGGAGTACTGAGACATTCGGCGACCTGACATCTTCTTCTTTTCACAATAATTTAATTGGCTCACCATCCGAGTTGCAAACACATTTTGATGGGGAAAGGCCATAGATATGGCATATGACGTCACTATTTCAACAATAACTGACAAAACAGCAGTAGTATTTCCACTGAAACTCGCCCAAAGGTGCCCGCCGGCAGACCGAAGTGCCCGTAGCTTCGGGCTCCGGATGACCGATGTATGAGGGTGAGTTCATGATCTCCCAATGCACGTGAACATGAACCTTGATATATGCAACACAGCCAAATCATGCAGTATGCAAGCAGCAGCAGTTCTCTCTTACCTGGTTCGTCACGGGACGTCCGCCAGCCGCCACAAAGTCCTTGAGGTTCTGAGGACCGAAGTTGGACACGCCGTAGTTGCGGATCTTCCCCTGCGCCTTAGCACGCTCCAGTGCCTTGACTGTGATCTCTGCGGAGAGCATGTTAACTGGCCAGTGGACCTAATTATCAGAAAGACATAAAAATTGAAAGACCGTTTCATGCGATACATTTTACAGGCAGCTCTCTGGAGCAGGTTCGAAATTAGGCAGTTTGTAAATGAGGCAAACGACTTCTACAATTTCACAATTTTCGTGGCATCTCTTCAAACCTAAAATTTCAATAGCCGCACTGACACCGACACACATCACCCATTAGGGAAATGATCCTCTGTGCCTAAGACCACGGTTCACGTAACCTGGTATTGTGCCCTCAACCCAATATTTCTGAAATCGGAGTAGTCCCACCATCCATCAATATAGTACAGTCGTCCCCTCTTTAATCCAGCACTTTATACATCAGCATCCTCTATAAATCAGCATTATTTTGAGCAACCAAAATGTTCCATTCATGCACATTTATTGGCTCAACATCCGAGTTTCAAATTGCACACCTGATGAGCCGTCATTATTGGCTCAACATCCGAGTTTCAAATTGCACACCTGATGAGCCGTCATTATTGGCTCAACATCCAAGTTTCATGCACATTGCAGCAGTAAATCAGATTTTCTAATCCAGCACCCTCCCTAATCCAGCAGAGCTTCCATAGCACAAATAGTGCCGGATTATAGAGGGACCACCGTATCTGTACTTCTCATATTCTCACCTGGTAAAGGTCTATGTAGTCGGTCTTTAGAGCACGGAGACTGGCTTCGAGTGACTGCAAAAAAAAAGACAAAAGGGACATGGAAAAGAAAGTTCATGCCGGGGACATATATGTACACGCATGCATGGGTAAGTGGTGAACAATGATTTGCTCTTACTCCCCCCCCCCCCCCCCCCCCCACACACACACAGACCAGACACTCTCTACTCGTGTCCAACACCCCACCCCGACCTCTTTCCAAGACATTCACGAGTCGATACTCCCATGGCATTGCACTCTTACACCCCCCCCCCCCCCCCCCAACCCACACACACACACACACACACGCGCGTGCGAATACACTCTCACCTCATCTTTAACACCCCACCCTAACCCCTCTCATAGACATTCACCGGTCAATAATACAGTGGGATCGCACTCTTAGCCAAAGCCTGTTCCCTCCCAATCATCACATCTCAGAATTCAGTGTTCGTAGATGAAAAGGAAAGCGTGCTAACCTGCTCAATGTCGACATCGGTGAATTTGTGCGGGCCCTGTGCGCTGAAGCGGCCAAACTTGCTGGCGATCTGCAGACCCTGAGATCGGCGTCGAGAGCCGAGTGCCTCTGCCAGGACTGCTTCAGACTGGTGGTTGCCGTATCCCTGTGTACACACACACACACACACACACACACGCACACACACACACACACACACACAAACACACACACACACACACACACACACACACACTTCAACATTCTATGTTGATACGTCTACAGTGCATCCAGTACACTATGATCCGGAGACCTCAGGTCGGCAGAGTGAACTATGCATGTCTCGCTACACTTTTAGTCCTCAGCTCTAACAACATTTGGAGCCTACTGTAAGTGTACAAAGTTTCGGCACATTCAAATTTCGGCCTCCAAGGGATAAAACACATTTCGGCCGCATCACATTTTCGGCCTGTACTGCTGCCGCCTGTATAATACTGACACACTGAACCTTGCAAAACAAAATTTCGGCCGCAACAAATATTCGGCCAAACATGACCAGGCCGAAAATAGCCGAAAATTAATAAGCGCCGAATATTTGCTGACTTACAGTATAGGCACTATCTTTTTTCAAATGTCTCTAGTCACTCTTCGGCGAGAACATGCCCTTGAACAAACTAATGTAAAATCTCAATACCAAAAAAGTGAACAAAACGCCAAGAATCTGAAGAAAGAAAAAAACTCAATCCAATTCTTTGTTGCCATAACGGAAACTGAAACCCAACACAAATCTGAGAAGATGGCAGTTGGCGGTCACGCGGCAACAAATCACTAAACTGGAGAATCTATTTTCAATGCTGGTTACACACACACACACACACACACACACACACACACGCACACACACACACCTCAGACATGCCCATCGCGGAAGCGATGATAGCGAACAGCTATATTTAGACATAGCAACTTGTGCTGGGATTACACCATTCAACAGCTTGCAAGGCTGATGAATTGACACACACCCACCCACACACACACACACACACACACACACACACGTACCTCAGCGGTGTCGAATATTGTCACACCGTCATCTATGGCTCTGGCGACAATATCGTTAGCTGCCTGATAGGAAAAAAAAGAAGAGACAACACAACCTTTTATAATGAGCCTTGTTTGACAGATCCCTCTTCGAAATGATGAACACGTCCACAACCAGAACACTTCTTTTCGGTATAACTGTTTTCAAAATCATCTTCAGTTCACGCGAGACCTCGTCAGACTGAGTGACTCCCATACGCAGGGCCGTCGCCAACCTCAAGGATCAAGGCGCAGCTGCCGCTCGTAAATCGGTGGGAGTTTCCAAAGTTAATACGGATTTATAATGGGATGGCTGCGAGCCGCACTAGACAGAATGGACGTCGCGCTCCCTCCGACGGGAGTCTAGTGACGTAACCCATGCTGTACCGTATACGTGCCCTTTCTAATAATTATGGTGGTGGTGTTAGTGGACATTTAATGTAGCGTAACTTGTAGTTCTGGAAAATATCAATTGTGCACTCATAACCATGTATAAACAATTAAAATGAAACAATTATGGGTTATGAGTGCACAATTGATATTTTTCATTGCTATTTTACGACTGTTGTCTCCTCGTCGGTTATTTAAAAACTTGTAGTTCCTTGGTCCTTTCTCGATTCTAATTATGTTGTAAAGCCCGTGATGGGTGGCTAAATTTCCCGAACAAAATGAGCGGAATCCGTTTCTTTTTCCAAACGCCTTCAGACGTGAACGTCCACAGCTTCTCTATAAGTCCAACATGAAAACAATCACAAAAACACGGTTTACAAGACAGTAAAACCTGTAATGGCGACCACTCGGATATGGCCACCACTCGACCATGGTGACCACTTTTCCTTGTCACGGACGCATTCACATTCAAAACAGCTCGGATAAGGCGACCACTCGCTCAACGCAACCGACGACCACCCACCCGCGACCTCGTTGCACAGTGCTGGTATATGTAAATGTACGCATTGCATGGTGCACCAGGCATGGTAGATCTACACATCAGTGCAGGAAGTATAGATGTGCATGGTGCATGCACGACACTTGACAGGTCTGACTGAGGACCCCAGGCATATGAATCGTGCTAGAGTAGCATAGGTGTGTGCACTGTGATACACTGATCAAAATGATGTACCGTATTTTACCGGTTATAAGTCGACCCCGGTTATAGGTCGACCCCCCGTATCCGGAAGTCTTAATTACAGTATTTTCCCGGTTGTAAGTCGACCTTTTACGACTAAAAATAGAAGGAGAAAGGGTGGGGGTCGACTTACAACCGGGATTCGACTTATAACCGGGAACTATCAGAATCTTACAAAAAAATGACCTGCACTGCATGCACGAGTGCACTATGTGTACACATTTTTTCCAGTTTATTGGCCTTCTCAAGGATTGGGATGTTATAACCTCCAATAAGGAATGTTTGCATGATTTATTGATGTGTTAGTAGCAGGGATTGGTTAGTAATGCTTCGTTGGGTGATAACTTTAAAACGCAGAATTGAGACCTCCAGATACGGGGGTCGACTTATAACCGGGGTCGACTTATAACCGGGGTCGACTTATAACCGGGGTCGACTTATAACCGGGGTCGACTTATAACCGGGGTCGACTTATAACCGGGGTCGACTTATAACCGGGGTCGACTTATAACCGGTAAAATACGGCATGTTTTTAAAGTGTTTGCCCAACGAAGCACTGCTAACCGCTCCCTGCTACTAACACATGAACAAATCACATAAACACTCCTCATTGGATTCTGAAACATCCCAATCCTTGAAAAAGGCAAACAAACTTGGCAAAAATGCATACACATGGTGCACTCGTGTATTCAGAGCAGGTCTTTTTTGGAAGATACCGATAATTCCCGGTTATAAGTCGAATCCCGGTTGTAAGTCGACCCCCACCTTTTCTCCTGCTATTTTCAGTCGTGAAAGGTCGACTTATAACCGGAAAAATACGGTATCACATGTGGATATGGTCACGTGACCCACTGAACCTGGATAAGAAGACCACCTGGCCACGGCGACCACTTTTTCTCGTCCCTTGAGTGGTCGCCTTAGACAGGTTCACTGTACAGAAAACCTGTAATTAAAGACCACTGTGACTAGCGAGCAGCCTGGTACAACCGACCACTGCGCCAGGCACGGACGGTCTCACATTCACATTATGGTTGTGAGGTGCAAACTTCGGTAAACCTGTACTTTAGCGCCCCCAGGTCGTTTTTAGTACAAGACATCGGAAGTCTTGTACTAAAAAATGCAGTATTCCAAAAAAAAAGTATTCAGGTGATTTCAGCACTAAAATGACTACACTGTACAATGTATATCAGTGTTGTGCTTAGTGCCATAATTATATGGGGGGCGCTAAAGTAGGGGTTTACCCAAACTTCTAACTAAGGACCACCTGCAACTAAAGACCGCATTCTCTGGCCCCAAGGGGTGGTCGTTAGTCACAGGTTTGACTGTAAATAAAATTAGTGTGAAACTCCGGAGTGAAATAGCGTTGAAATCGCTCGTTTGCTAGCACCGATTTCCACAGGTTCATGCTCGAGAATCAGCTGCATGCAAGTCAAGTGCTTTATCGTAGATCTACATGGCTTCATGATGAGCTCTGAATGTGATCATGGTGATCAATGCCGAAAAGGCTCTAAAAATCAAATCGAATCTTACTTTTTGGTCCATAGAGCCCCATGTGGCATCAGGGGCATCTTGCGTACCGCCGAATTGCCAGCAGCCGAGACAAACCTTTGAGATTTCCACCTCGGTGCCGGGAAGAGTCGAAGTTGCCATCTTTCTGCTGCTAGCGACACAAGATCTCTGCTTGTAAACTCGAGAAAATGCTCGCTGATGAAATCAAGAGAATGTTTGCGACTGACTTGTGAGCGCTAAAGTCACAGTATTTATTGGAACGAATCCTGCTGACTATCCGTCCAGAGCTCAGTACTTTGTGAACAGAGCAGAGCTGAGTGAACCACTACAAGTAGCACAAGTGATGACTTCTGTGATAGAAGACTGAAGCCTTCGAGAAGGACATGTCGACAGTCCAGATCAATGTGAATGCCACTTTTTCGAGCAGTCTAACTTTCGTACTACAGTTTTACTGTCAAGACCATGGCATGGTTGATCACGTGCAGTCCATCCGGTATGTCAGTGCAGTCAACACGGGTCAATGCCAAGCCTAAGCTTTGCATGCAGTGCAGCCCCAGACCAGTACCAGAGTACTGGCAGTAGATCTACCTGTGATAAACATTGCATTGGACTAGACTTGTCTTTACTAATAATATAATGACTATTGTAGTCTTGCTACATACTGTAACGTTAGAATGAATTTGTGTAGCTCGCATGGTGATAGTATTACTGTCACCGTGGTCACAAGCAGCACAGAAAATCAGCAAAGTTAATATTAGTTGGGAAGGAAACCGTGAGTCCGTGACGGACAGAACGATCAGCTGGAATCGGTCAACATCAACCAACTAACGCACATGCACAGTTTTGAAAGGCAAAGCTGGACCCCCCCCCCCCCCCCACACACACACACGCTCTTCAAGTAGAATATCGCACCCAGTTATAGGAAAACAACGTACTCCCACACACAAGCGCACTCAGTCATGTGCACGAACGGACGCACCTATAATATTATAATACACACACATACCCCCCCCCCCCCCCACACACACACACACACACGCACGCACACACACCAAGAAAATGTCTCTTGCTGCAAACACGCTTCCACTGGGCTTGGGAGAATGCTCAATGTTCATGCAAACTGACTTACACGAGTTACAGAGCACCACGCATTTCCGTTGTAAGTTTGTTGTTTCATGCGTGTACTCTATACTGAATGAACACTTTTAAAGATCATTAATTTTTTAGAACCAGTTCCTTGCAGAATATGACAAGATACACTTCAGGTGAGTATACCATGCATGCAGATATCCAGGTGAGTATACCATGCATGCAGATATCCAGGCTAACAGCCTACTTGTTAAAAACAATTTGAAAAGAAATTACTGCATACAAAATGTGACAAACACTAAGAAGGAAGTAATATTGCAGGCTAGTTAGCTCAGGGTTACAACTAGTATTCTACGGTGACCAGTTTGTGAGGGAAATCTTATATTTGTCTGTGAAATTCAGAATAACTATGTACAAGAAAGGTAGCATTCAGTGGCTCGGGCTAGCACGATGTGGCAGACTAAATTCTTGGGAAATGACGCGTGAAAACTAAATCTGATTGAGTTCGGCAGGCACAGGCTGATGCAAACACTTCTGCCGCAGCCTAGCGAGAAAAGAACTGCCATACGGAGTTGCAGACACTTGTCTAACCAATCACAGAAACATCAGTAGCTCTTAGCCATGCGAAGGCCTATCATCTGCTGCTAGCTAGTCTGGGTGGGGCACACTCATCACACATACACTCCCACTCTCTTCACTGTACTCGCTTCTTCTGCAATGTCTTTCGGGACTTGCGAGCCGATCGGTCGCGCTCGACAAACTTGACGAGCTCCGTGCCCATTCTTTCTTGATATATTCTGGAGAGAAAGTGGACGTAGCGAAGAACAAGCCGAATCAAGTCAGGAGAGGGTAGACTCAATAGAAAAGTAATTCCCAAGAAAGGATAATGGAGATGTTCATGTGTCCCACATAGCCAGGTGACAGTATGTGAAAGCGGGAAGCTTATGTGGCCGAACCAATCTAGTGAGATTCACAGTGGAGACCAAGAATATGTATCAACCAAGGCTTGGGATATATTGGCAATGTACAGTGAAACCTGTCTAAGGCCTCGTTTACACGACAACGATTGAAAAACGTTTTTGTCAAAAACGTTTTCAAAAGAATACGCTTCCACAGATTTTGACAAGAGCGTTTACAAGGACAACGATGAAAAACGTTTCAAACGAAAAACGGCTTCAAAGTGTTTTTCAATCGTTTTCGTTCCGTTTCGTTCTCGTGTAAACGGCAAAAACGTTTTACTAGTACGGGCCCCGTACTCAAAACATGCCGCCGCCAGCCTGCGCCAGGCCAACTTCTTGCACGTGACAATTGCGCGCCGAAAAAAGTATTGCAGTGTACACGATTATCGTTTTCGTGTAAACAGCAAAAACGTTTCGAAAACTATTGAAAAACGTTTTTCAATCGTTGTCGTGTAAATGAGGCCTAAGATGACTGCTCGAGGGACCTTCAAAATGTGGCCTCTGTTAACAGGTGGCCTCCCTATCCAGGGTCATTTGACTGGAAATTGCATCCATTGGTCCTGGTCGCAATGGTCTTTTGGGACAGGTGGTCACCTTGACAGGTTTTACTGTATAACAAACAATCCTACATGGATGCAGCTAATGGGGTCGTTGTCGGCACTTGTGCCAGTGGTTGTGAGACTTATCCACTCACCCCCACCGTTAGGCGCTGCATCTGCCGCTAGGGTTTATCGGGTGTTAGCGGCCGTCGTGAGTTCCCTTCGGGAACGGAAACGATAATTTACTTACTTTAAACAATCCTACTTGTGTGTTGCACCCTATCGTAAGGACCAAAGAAATTGCCACATCCCTATCAGTGCCAAGAAGAGGACTGCTACACCAGGGTTTTGTTTGCTTGCTAAGCAGATCCCCCCCCCCCCCCCAACACAGCATTCAGCATAACATAGCACCCGGAATTACGTACCTTGCGTAGAGCGGAGATCGTAGGAAGTCGAAGAGATGCTTGACGCCCATGGTCAGTCTCTCTTGCAGTTCCGGTATCAGTGGATTACCATTGGCTTTGAACACTGTACGCGTTGGATCAGAGAAATCGAGTTGAGCTGGAAAGAGAGAAGAGTAAAAAAACACGAAACGGACGGGTCAAAATTTGCTCTATACTTTCAAATTTCACTCAGAGTAAACGTATTGAGGGTTATATACTACAGTGCTGCTAAATGAAATCCGATCGCGTGAGTCATGTGCAAGCCGGCCGCTGTGCATCCCTAGACATGTAAAAACTGGGTTACGAAATGGAGCACGGGGCAGGCTTGACTCGCGCGATCCGATTTCAACGAGGAGTACTGTAGTATTTTGAACAACAAGACACACGTCTTTCCCGGAAATGACTAGAAATTCATCCTGAGCCTCATCCCCCCCCCCCCCCCCCACACACACACACACACATCATTGAGAACTGGATCTGCCAATGAAGATGCTCTTGCACACTACCATTGAACAAGAAGCCGATACTCTGTGTGTTGGTCGGGGACAAGCGGCATAAACAGTGGCGAAGATGGTCTCTTTCAGTACCTCGGAAGCACAGAGCATGTATTGAGTGTCCTGTACGGAGGCCTTCTTTGAGCGGAGGTGCTCTACTAGACCTGTGGGGAGGAGTATCTCAACGTTCAAGACAACGAAGAAGAAAACGCAGACACAAGATAGGGGACTGCGTGTACGTACACAGTTCTGGCGGTAGTAAGTTGAAATGGTTGCTCTGTAGGTGCAGCTCCTTGAGCTTGCCCAGTCGACTAACACCAGGCGGTAGATCTGTGAGGTCGTTATCACGCAATGATAACTATAACAAGCACAAAAACAGTAACACGGAACATAGACATAGATAGACGGCAGAGGGAAAGTGTGTGATTAAAACCTATGAAACGGCTAAGAATAACTGGCTCGAGTCCTGGTGGTGACAGTCAATGTTTTCTTCAGACTTTTCCCATTCTCCGCTTCCCACAACCTGATGAATAACTGTTACGTAATAACTAGTGCCAAGGGGTAATGGTGTTATGATCATTATTATGGTCATGGCCAAGAATCAGCCTGGATGCTTCCTGCAGCTTCATATTATAGCCGACTATCTGTAGGGCAGACAGCTACAACTCAACTATTACTTCGCGCTGTTATGTACTTCACTTCAAAAAATTATTTATTCTCCGACGTTTCGGTTTTAGAGACAATCATCAGGAACAGTGAAGTCTAGTCGTTCCCGTAGATGCAATGACTCCCTGCAATACATGTAACACTTGAGATCACTATCAGGCACCTTATAATCTAGACCAAATCCCAATAGCAAATACTAGTGATGTAACGAATAATCAATTATTCGAATTTCCTCGATCCGTTGGACCTCAAGGAATAATCGATCGGATAACATCTGGGTCAAAGGTTCGAAAATTTCAATAATCACAGGTGGGCGAAGTCCGTTCGCTGCATACCGCGCGCGCGACTCTAGGTCGCTGGACTTTAATGCATAAACTTTGTGCTTTGTTGCAGACAACGACTGAGACTAGGTGCGGTAGACCGCGGTAGACTATACCCGGACTCGAGTCTGAGCGCTTGTGTTGTGTGTTTGCTACATGTACACTTACTGTGGAATAATAAAATAATCGTTCGTTCACTTGAGTAGTATTCGGTAGATTATTCGTTCGCAAAAATCCATGGTTCGTTACATCACTAGCAAATACTGTACTTAACGCTTACCACTTGCAGACTCTTCAGCTTGGAAACGTCGTCTGGGATCTGGTGGAAGTCATTGTCAGATAAGTATAGCGCTCGTAGGGTTGCTACAAAAGTCAGAGAAATACAACAACGCATACTTCCTATCAATGTTCAGACGACAGCACAGAGCTTTTCACCAGGGACTAATCGAGTATGGGTAGCTGCCACATTGCTAAAACAGAACAAAACTTTCGATGGACTGGCACGAACAGAAAGCCTTGTTAACTTTAAGCATATGTCCTGCGGCCATTTTAGCTTCAAGTTTCCGCAGGCACTCCGAATTCGGAAAGCAGGCCAGGGCTAACAACCAAGTGGTGCATTCTTACCCATGTAGAAGAAGTTGCCAGGCAACGATTCCGAACTGAGGTTGTTGTAACTGAGGTCCAGCACTTCAAGGCAGGCAAACGCACCGAAACCTTTCGGCAACGTGCACAGCCGATTCAGACTGAAAGACAAGAAGGAAACAAACACAACACCCTGGATGAGCAAGAACAATCATTAACCTCACATAGCTCCTAGCAGTACAGAATACAGATGAGCACAACAAGAGAAAAAAATAGAAATACAAAAAAGAAAATATCGGCTCCTGACTTAGGGAATTCCATGCCGAGCTATCTCGGCCAGCTCTCAAATTAGGAACCTCGTCTTACCCAAGATTGAGATGCCGTAACTTTGACAATGTGCTGATGCTTGTAGGTAATTCCTAAACATTGATAACATACGTATACACATGGACATACGCCACATACACATACACACACACACACACACACACACACACACACACACACACACACACACATACACACACACACACACACACACACACACATGGAGAAAAAACATGGCATGGGCTGACCAGGCAACAGATGAGCAGGACAGAAGCTTGGACCATTGCATGTTTAGTGCCAACGGTCCCCTGATAATGAGCCGACACAGCATATGATGAGGATGCTGCCGAGCAGTATTCTTACCTCAATGTGATTGTTGAATAGGTTCAAACTCTCCAGTGCACGCAGGTCGCAGATCTCGTGAGGAATTTCTGCGGTGATGCCATGTCCAAGTGCACACACGCATACACACACACACACACACACACGTGCACGCATACACACACGTACACACACACACACAAACACACAACACCGACCCAATCGATACATTAACCATAATGGTTTGCTACGCTTGATTCGACTGGAAACGAAGTGGAAAGCAAGCATATCCAATATTCCGCAAGGGTGGGACACTCCACTTTGCACCGGGTGGATGAAAGGTTCAACAATAACCCCTACAGTCCAGGAGTGCATGTCCACTGGTTCATTGCATGCCTAGGAATAAAGTTATTTCGTCAGTTTTGAAGCAAAACCAGTGTGATGCTACTGTGGACTAATACGAAACGCAGGGGCGTCAGAAGGTATTCTAAGGTGGTACGGTCAGCCACCTGAACTACAATTTACTTGTGGGATTGGGGTGTCTCCTCTGACAAAATTTCGAAATTTGGAACCCAAATCTGTGCCTTCTATTAATTCACAGGGTATCAGGGGCAAAGAGTGGTACGGACTCAAAACCGTAGTGACCGTAGCGTGTCCGACGCCCCCTGAAACCAGTAGTGTGCCACTGTGCATAACTCATACTGATCAGTGTGAAGCCCGTAGTACAGTCACACCTCGCTTATCCGGTCCTCGTTCATCCGGATCCCTGGTCATCCGGAAGAAAATCGTTGGTTAACGATTTACAGCACATGCCATGCATACATACTGTGTGTTCGATTATCCGGTTCCCTCGTCTATCCGGATATTTTTGTGGAAAACGGATGTGTGCGGTTATGCAAGGTCTGACTGTAATAGTTAGTAGTCGAGTAGTTTTTTATTATTTTACTAGTGGAGTCCCAACTGGCTACCGCAGTCAGCTGGAAGAGAGTTCCATCTGCCTGCCGCCAGAAGAGAAACTAGAACGCATGCCATACATGAATGCTACTGCGTACTGTTCAGAATCACACGAGGCTCCATATAGCCCGGCGGGACCCACTTCAAAGAATCCCAGGCTACGCCGCATCCTACCTATAAAGTACAAGAGAGCTTGGACTCATGGACCCTGGGGTTTCTGGCCACGTTCGCATGAATCAAATCACCCCCGAGGTGAGTACGATGATACAGGATCTAATTATATGGGATACAGACAATTTGATATACCTGTCATTACTTGAACATCTTAAAGGGCTGCGTAGATTGTATGAGACGTGTACTGGATACCGAAGCCATGCGTCTAGTCACTGCATACCCGTATGCATGTGATGCCAGCTGAGGAGGCATTCTCTCTGTGCACTGGATACCGAAGCCATGCGTCTAGTCACTACATACCCGTATGCATGTGATGCCAGCTGAGGAGGCATTCTCTCTGTGCACTGGCCCTATCTAACATAGGTTTGACTGTTCATGTCAAATACATTGAAACCTCGGTTTAAACACTGATAAGACAAACTTTCGGTTGATAAGAACTAGTCTCCATAACTGTATTGGATAGATTACTGTGTATTCACTGGGTATAAATGTGGATAAGAAGAACTCCCGTTATTAAGAATAAAAACCGCTGGTCCCTTAGTGTTCGTCCTAAAGACGCTTGACTGTACACAGGCGAGTATTACCGTAACACCGGCATTAGACTTACCTCCAAGTTTGTTATGGCTGAGGATGACGCGAGTCACATTGCTCAAGGAGACTAAGCACGTTACAGCAAACAAACGTAGTATCAAAACACATGCAAGCACACGTTACCAGACACATACATATACACGTGCACACAGACACACATAGTCTCATACCGTTAAATATGGCAACAATACCTTGCCAGATCTTACCCGTATCCAAAATTTCAGGGGCGTAGCTGGTCCCCGTTTTGGGGGGGGGGGGGGTGCACGCCGCATGCACGTATGTGTAGGATGGCTGGTGCGTGTCATTACCGTAAAGTCGCGGATAAAAGCCGGGCTTATAAGCATATAAGCCGCTTTCTGCATCAGGCTTTAATGCAAACCAGGCTTGCATGCAAACCATGCTTATGATATAGTAGATCTATGCGACACGCGTAGACCTACTGACTACCCGCAGTTTTACTATGCACCATGGTACATAGCGCATGCACTCTTGACCTACCCGATCCGCGCTTGCATAGAAGCCAGGCTTCTACGCGAGGCAGGCTTATATGCATTTGACCCGTTTGATTTTCAGGCTTCTATCCGCGATGTGCTTGTATGCAAACCCGGCTTTTATCCGCGACTTTACGGTATGTGCATGCTGAACCTAGGTCGAATTTTTTTTACACGTGTGGACCGAACATGCATTCCTGGATCAAGTGGAATCCTGTCATAACAGGGCAGTTTCTGCTGCACCAAAGGCGACCGGTTAGCACAGGTTTTACTGTACTGCTGTCTTGCTGTGATGGCACGCGCGCGTGTGTGTGTGTATGTGTTTGTGTGTGTGGCCGCGCATGCGCGTGTCATACGTCGATCTATCCGCATTTTGCATCTGCAATTGCACGGTGCGGCAGCATTGACAACATCTGTATGCTGTTCTTCGTGTAGTACCGGAGCCCTTTTGCAAAGTTGTGTTGCTAATAGTTATTATCAAACTTTACACAGGGAAAAAGGGTGCTTTCTTGGAATAAATCTGCTTGGATCGATGGGGCGAAGGCAGATTGCTGGCTTGAAATGACTCCAGATGAACTCTAGGATGTTGGTCACAAACTAGTCTCCTCACTACATTGTAATAAGAAGTGGAACAGGCAGAGTTTTTCATTCCCTGCAGTTCCTAATGTGGCTCCTTCCCAGGTAGCCCACGCTATCAGTGGATGTTTATACGCACACGCACTTTCGGCCAGATTCCAACATTATTTTCGTCTCCGTGTGGCTATGTGAGCTTACAGACACGCACAATTTGAGGCACACGCGCACGTTCTGAGAGACCACAGCCACGGAGCGCAAATAGTACTCACAGAATGCTGGCACCTGCGTGAGATCACTGATGCCTCGATCAGCCACGTCCAACACGATATCGTTCTTATCCAACGGGTTCGCCTTGCCCGACTTGGCATCTTCTACAAGTTTCTTCACCGACTTAGACATCTCTCTTTACCTTACGAAAGACAACTCTACAACTTCAGCCGCGTGGCCAGACAGTCCGCGAGCGCGGTAAGCCAATAGCAAATCGCTGCAAACTAGTACAGCAGTCGAGACAAGTACTGGAAGAAGGGATTAGCTGCTGTTGTTTCGAAAGAAACATAAAAACAGCGTTTCACGAAAGTAACTTTCCAGACGTAGAAGCCTTTCAAATGCCACAATTTTTCCGTTGGGTGTAGTGAATGCGTGTTGACAAAGCCGAGCCTTCGGCTTCCCAGAACACGGCATATGTACGTAAATCTGTATGCCCGTGCAGCGATTTCCGTTGTTGACGTGATCGTGACGTGGAGATGCACTCTGGCTGGGGGTGATCACTCAGCTTGTCGTATTTGACGGTGACCATGTGTAGTGAAGCTGAGTCTGGCCTGGATGCTGCGCTGGAGACTCGAAGGTCGGTCGTAGTCGAAAACATTGATGCAGGCGACAGCAGTTGATAAAAGCAGACTGAGCAGCCATCAAACGATGGAAGACATGCCTTGCCTCACCCAGATCGTGGTAAACAGCATAATCTGACAGCACTCGGTAAGATATTATGCATAGCGCTAGCGCTAGCGCTCTTCAAGTCGATGATGATGCAAGATAAAAAAAATTGGCTTGTCGATGGACTACAGTAAGATCGGGCGCCGAAGAACGCAGGGGCTCGAGCGCAGCCTAGGAAAGTTCTTAAATTTTTGATTCTAGCCAGACCGTTCTTATTCACACGCGCGCGGCGAGTCGAGTGACGTCATGACGTTTGTCATGTACATGTACATGTACATGTAGTGCAATGTAGTACAGTACTTCTAAACTAGTGGGTGTCGTAAATGGGAATGACTGTACATGTAGCAGTTGCTGTTTACACGTGTACATGACATGTACTCACCTCCCATACATGTACAATGTTCCAAATTTTAAAAGTGTTCTTAAATCTGATAATTCTAGCCTGGATTGTTCTTAAATTTTGCCGGTTTTCCAGCCTGGGTGTTCTTCGGCGAGGTGTTCTTCGGCGCCCGATCTTACTGTAGTACTAGTACTACCCTGGCATCGATGATCTATGCCGTCCATGCCAGTACGTCAATCCTTGCTTGTCAGTAATTAGTTGACAACTAACTTTGACATTTCTAGTCTTTGCACTGCATGCACTGCCTCCTCAGTCAGACAGATCAATCAAAAACAGCTAGTATGACATCAAAGGCCACGTCAGAAAAGCATCTAGCAAAGGTCGTCATTGAAGTAGAATGACACTAGTGACTGTGGCATGGGGGCAGTAGTGTATCAGAGTTAGATGTATTCCACTATTCCGAGCTACAGATAGAAGCGCACAGCTACCGGTACCTGAAATTTAAAAAGTTCCACCTATGGCATCATGGCATGTGACGATCCATGTGACCTTAGATACTATGCCATATGGTGATCCCATGTGGGTATTGTGTCACAATGGTATTGTTCAGTACAATCATGTAGTCACAACACGTACACACCGTGATGGTCACAAGACTTCTCACGGGTTCACTTTGACTCGATCAATAACCGGTGACAAAAACAGATGGCTCCTACGATCCATATTCCGTGCACGCATGTGTGTGTGTGTATGCACGTATGTGTGTGTGTATGCAGGGGTGTCGGACACGGTACGGTCACTACGGTATTGACCGTACAGTACCACTTTTTGCCCCAGTTGCCCCGTGAATCAATAAAATACACTGATCTGGGCTCTAAATTTCCAAATTTTTCGGCTCATCAACCCCCCCCTCCCCCCTCGAGTAAATTGTACTTCAGATGGCTGACCGTACCACACTAATTATACCTTCCGACGCCCCTGGTATGTGTGTGGTGTGTGCGTGTGTGTGTGTGTGTGTGTGTGTGTGTATGTGTGTGTGTGTGTGTGTGTGTGTGCCAGCTAGTTCGGTTGGTGGGTACACTTATGCCTGATTGTGTTGGGTCTGTTGCCAACGGGCTGGGCTGCTTGAAGGTGTAATGTTGTACCTACCACCTTTGTTGGTTTCAGGGTTCATATACTTTCTATTTGAAGTATACATACCTGTTAACCACGGACTGCTTCTGGCTAGATTAACTCTTGTGTAATCAATGGTGCTAGTGAAGCTTATATCAGATCCACTCTGATTCAGCCACCCACACTAGTAGCAAGTATTACCTTCACTGGGGGCAGGGGTAACTGCAGTTGGATCCCTGGACGGATACCCTGATGCCGTCAATCCTTTTTCTGCACCTTGTCCTCACCCACTTACTGAGGTGTGGTGAGCCCATAAGTGGGATCATTTTCAAGTCCACTCAGAGTTTCGGGGATTTCAGGGGGTGTCGGCCGTTGGGCGGTTCAATAGCCAGTTGAGTCATCTTTCCAAGATTCCTTTTGAGTCTCTCTCCCCTCTCCCGGGAGACCCACGTGACCGGTTTTGGCAGTGAGCAACAAGTACAAGTGTGTGTGTATGCGCATGTCTGGGCACACTTACATGCACCCATATGCGTGTGTGTGTGTGTGTCCAGAAAAGCCGCTTCCACCAGCCGTGTGGTGTAGACGAGGCTAACATTAGTGGCGAATAATTCATCAGCCTTGCAAGGTGTTGAATAGTGTAATCCCAGCACAAGTTAGTTGCTATGCCTAACATCATGAGCTTGTTCGCTATCATCGCTTCAGCGATGGGCAGGAGTATGTATGAGCGTGCATGAATGTGCACAGAAAACTCAAGAAAAAGGAGTCCTTGTCACGTAATATCGCCGCAATTGTACTCAGACCAACATCAACTTGTACAGAGAAACCCTCACTACACACACACGGTCGCAGTACAGAGAAACCCTCACTACACACACACGGTCGCAGTACAGTACTGTCGGGTAGCGCCGAAGAATAGAGTGCCAAAGAACATCCAGGCTCGAATTATTTTTTCACCAAGCACATCATACCATACATATGCACGGTGACTCAACTGTGGATAGACAGATAAAATTGGAAAAATAACTTTATAATTATAGCACGTCATAATACATTAATTACTCTGTCAGCAAACCTCAAGTACATTGATCATAAGTCGATTTTTTCTTTCCGTAAAATAGAATACTTCTGCCACCCGGGGAGAGAAAATAGAATAAACAATTTTAGATTTGTCAAAGTCATTGAACTGACTAACGCAGCATATCAATTTAAAAACATCTTTCAGAATTGAAGGTTTGATGCCAGTGCAGTAAGTGTTGGTCATTGACACACTGGATGCCAGTGCAGTAAGTGTTGGTCATTGACACACTGGATCCGAAGCAAACAAGAAATTGTTTCGATGTCATGAAAGTAGGCCAAAGTGCGAGTTTGTGCCTACACATTATAAATAAAGCCAGCCCACTGATGAATTCTCAGTTTGCCTTGGTAGTGCTTGCTGATACGCTTGAGAGGGAGAGAGAGAGAGAGAGAGAGAGAGAGAGAGAGAGAGAGAGAGAGAGAGAGAGAGAGAGAGAGAGAGAGAGAGAGAGAGAGAGAGAGAGAGAGAGAGAGAGAGAGAGAGAGAGAGAGAGAGAGAGAGAGAGAGAGAGAGAGAGAGAGAGAGAGAGAGAGAGAGAGAGAGAGAGAGAGAGAGAGAGAGAGAGAGAGAGAGAAGAGAGAGAGGGAGAGAGGGAGAGAGGGAGAGAGAGAGAGAGAGAGAGAGAGAGGGGGAGAGAGAGAGAGAGAGAGAGAGAGAGAGAGAGAGAGAGAGAGAGAGACAGAGAGAGAGAGAGAGAGAGAGAGAGAGAGAGAGAGAGAGAGAGAACTAAGACACCTTCAGCATATCACATGAATTCCTGCGCGCACTGCCCACTTCAAAGCATGTGAATGCCCACACCAGCATAAAGTCTAGGTCCGCAGCAAGATAGGACTAGCTAGTATATGCCCAGGCAAGTGAAACGTCCACGTCGGCTTGAGAGGGGACAAAGACCCCTTCAGCATATCACCTGAATGCCCACGCACACTGCCTACATGTATGTGCCCACACCAGTATACAGTTCAGGTCACAGAAAGATAGGACTAACAAGAATCTGTCCTGGCAAGTGAACCGTCCACGCCGGCTCGACATCGCTCATTTCCTGCCTAGGGCCGACTGATGAATTCTCAGTTTGCCTTGTTGGTGATCGCTAATGTGCTTGAGAGAGGACAAATTCACCTTCAGAATATCACCTGAATGCCCACGCGCACTGCCTATGTGAATGCCCACACCAGTATATAGTTTAGGTCATAGCAAGATAGGACTAACGAGAATGTGCCCGGGCAAATGAACCGTCCACGTCGCCTCGACGTCGCTCATTTCCTGCGCCATGACCATGCCGTTGTAGCCGGCGATGTAGATGTAACCGTACGGGCCCATGAGCGGTGCCGCTATGCTCGGCTCGGAGAGGGCCATGAGCGGGTCGACGCGTCCGCTGTTGATGCCCAGCTGCACCAGAACGCCACTGGTGGTGATCATGAAGAAGATCATGTCCTGACGCGGCACTGGCGTCGTCAGCACCTCGCAGCTGCGTCCGAACTTGCGCGTCAGGTTCACGCGACTCTCGTACTTGCCCTCCTCGACGAAAATCCCGACGCCGACGCCGTTGCTGCAGAGAACTAAGAGGCTCGCTAGGCCATTGTCGAGCGCGACGTGTGCCGGCAGGCTAACGTTTCCGCATAGCGACTGGGTCCAGACAGGGCGCTCTGCTCCCGGCGTGATCATGAATACCGTCGTCTGGCCGTCGGCCTGCAGAGCAGACACGATGAGGTGCTTCATCAGACTGACTAGCGGCGTGTTTACGATGTCTCCGGCAAAAGACCCACGCCACACTGACGTACCGTTCAGAGCGTCCAGGCAGAAGAGATTGTCGCCATCACCGTGGCTACCCGCACCCGGCACATTTCTCACGAGGCCCACGACCACCACAGCCGCGTTTAGCACCACGGTCGGGACGGGCTGGGCGACTATTGCCATGGGCGCCATGTCCCGGGTCCAGACCAGCTGCCCGGTTTTGGAGTGGAGCGCATACACGACACCCTTGACGTTTCCCACGTAGAGAAGCGAGTTAACGCCGACCGCTGGAGGGGCAATGAATGCACCGCTGCTCTCGGTAAAGCTCCATGCAACACTGCCGTCTACCGTGGAGAGAGCGTAGACCATCCAGCCGTTGGTCAGAATGTAGATCAATTGCCGATCGACCGAGTAAGCCGGTTGAGTGACGCTTGCACTGGGCAACAACGTTCTCCAACGCGACTCACCGGTCTCACTCGACAGAGCCGTCACGCGCCCTGAACTGGCCGTCTTGTCGACGGATACCAGCACCACGATATCGTCCACACCCGGCTGAATTGGTCGCGTTACTGTCGCCACCGGTCTCCCGTCCACCGTCCGTGCATGCGCCAGCGCCGCGGATAACAAGGAGCACCTTGAGACATTTTCAAAGCTGGGAATATTGTCTAACGCGTAGCTTGCGATGTCGGCCATTTCGTCATCATCTTCGGTCACTTCTTGATCAGCGACCACACCTTTATCCGTCTCATCTTCGCCACCAAGACCCTCTCTATCCACAAGATCCTTCGAGTGAGTCACGTTTGCTTCTTCTTCTCTGGACACACCCGGAGGGTCTTCTGCATCATCACCAGCATGGAGGTCCTCATCGGTGGGTACCTGCAGTTCAGGTTGACCGCTGCTGGCTTCACGGAACCCGTCGCCATCGGCTTGATGAGCTGGTTGCTGATCGCTGTCGACGATCCTTGCATCGTCTTCTAGTCCGTGACTTCTGCTGCTCTTCTTCACTGTGTTACTCGAGTCTGCTTCAAGGCCAATGTTACCCTCGTCTCCGTCTGCACCTACATCTTTGTTCTTAGAGGAAGGAATGGGTTTCTCGCAGAACCCATCCCCGGCCCCGTCCGCTGAGGTGCTGCTAGCGCACTCGGCAGTAGCGGAGTCATTCGCGTACACTGTAGTTGGGGCAAAAGCGCACAATACGGCCAGAGAACATAGAGCAGCGGCCCGCATTTCAGGACGTCTGCCTCAGCCACTGAGTCGATTCCCTCTGCATAAAGGTTCCCGCGAGTTCTTGATGATCGCCCCATCTAACAAACTATCTCCAATAACACAAATGCAACCAACCATTTTTAGTTCTGAACATCTCGGAGCTTGCTGCTGTAGCTCTTTCCCAACAGTACACTACAGTTACTGGCTACTGCATGCACTCGTATCGTGTCGTTTTTTCCACATGCTTGATCGATTATTCTGACTTGACGGTTTTCCTCTCTTTTTTTGGCCTTTTTTTTCAGCGCCGCCCGATATCCTGCCGCCATTTTGTGTTTCGTAGCAACAACAACAGGCTATTTTTTAGGGCTGAAACGCCGAATATTCGGAATCGAGTAGATCTACTCGAGTTTAGATTACCGATTGCGATTATTTTGCGTTTTTAAAATTGCAGAGAATTATGTACTACCGACTACTAAACATGTCTTGCCAGTGTTCTGGTGTTATCGAACATTCCGCATCACTAGCTGATCATCTTCTTTTGACAAAATGAGTGCGTATCTGCTTTGCTCCCCGCCAGAGTCCAGCACAAACTGATCAGCCGCACGTTTACTTGTGACAAGTAGTTGAGGAAGAAGCTGGGGCTGGGAGAAACACAGTTACTTCATTCTTCAGGAGTACAATACACTGCTGTACTGACATGTTGTTCTGCTGATTCACCCCGTCTCGGCGCTGCGAGTAGTCTACTTCAGCCGCGCCGGCCGGTGCTTCCGCGTCAGCAATCACAGCATGTAGGCCCACCATCACCATGATCACGGTCTGAATGTAAACTGTCGTCTAGTCTGTCGATTGACTCTGAGTCTGAGTCCGACTTTACTCTTTACTACAGCCTAGCCCTAGGTCTAGGAGTCGGACTGGGTTGCGCATTTTTATGTGGCTTTAGACCGTGACTTGTCCAAACACATGGCCAGCTCTCACAAATCTCCCAGACGAAGCCGAGGGAAGGCGCATGGGACACAAACCGTGCAAGCTGAGAAGTGTAGGCCTACACTACACTACTAATACACAGTACACTGTCTACACTACAGCTAGCCTGCTGTTCGCACACCAGCACGGCTGGAGTATGCATGCGACCCGTCCGGGGCGGCCCGTAGTTTTTCCGTCCGTCTTCGGGCGGCGCGTTCAGTTGGTTGCACTTGCCTACACTAGTCTGTAGTCCATGGGCATGGTAGTCGGCCGAACCCTTTCCGACACGAGAGTAGTCTACATGGTCTACGACTGGTGACTGTTGGTGTGTAGTCGTGCCCGTGTGGCCGTGTCCGCTTTCTAGTTTCATGCGGGACATGACAAGGCCTGTGGTAGCTGCCCCTGTCAACGCCTCCACTCGACACGGAAAGGTTTGGTCACTGGTCAGCAGGTCCGGCTGTGCAAGACGCTCGTCAATGCGACTCAGCCGACGTCGGGTGAGTTCGGAAAGTCCCCAGGCCGTTCTATGTGCTATGTCAGTAAATTGTGCAAGTATGCTGCCGCTGCTACTACATCAATCGAACCATACTACTGCATGTGCCACTACTCTCCTACTTGGCAATGTCACGACTATTGAGTATTGAGTGACTATTGTAGTTAGAAGTTTGCCTGTGTTTGATAACAAAATGGGTGATGCACAGGATGAAAAGCTCGAAGATCGCAAGCAAAGACAGCTATGGTCGCAAATCTGGTCCAGTAAATTAATAGGAAAAATCAAATCAAATAAAGTGGAAAATCCGGTTACAATCACGATTGACTATTGTAGTACATGACTGGGTGTGCTCCTACTGCACTCTACACAAAGTTGTATTGCAATCAGCAGAATGTGAGAAGAACAATAGTATAAAACTGTACTACTGGCACTAGATCTTCTCGTTCTAGTGTTATCAGTACAATGACGGTATGTTCTCTAAAGGCAGCAGTTCAGATCTGGACTTTCCACAACGTCCACATGTCCTTCGAAAACCTTTAGCTGTGCAAATGTTTGAGCAGCTAGCCGCTGAGCACTGAGCTTCCGGAGTAGAAGCCACGCTGGAGTATAGCCGCCGCAGTTATTTATACTCCCGATTCCACATCCTGGCAGTCTGCATGCACCTGTTGCTGCCATGTATTTCTCTCATTGTGGACTCACTGCTCATTGTAGCTACAGTCGACTCCTGATGTAACGAACACCGTTGTGCAGGAGAATTAGTTCTTTATAGCCGAAGTTCGTTATATCAGAAATACACTCACACCATACAAGCGGCAAGTCCTGAGTCGGATTGACTGATATGTGGCCCATGACAGTACGTGTGCACTTGGTGTACATGCAGCCCTACAATATTTGGTTCGTTATAAACGAAAACTGTTCGCTATAAAGTGTGAATTTTGCATAGGTTCAAACAGGGACATGGACAATGGTTTCGCTATATCACGAAATTCGCTATATGCGAGTTCATTATAAGTGGAGTCAACTGTACATGCATGTCTTCACTGTACCATGTCTACTGCAGCCACACTAAACTAGAGAGTGCAGTCGAAAATGGCAGCTGCTCGGCGGAATCAGAGAGACAATGACGACTCGACGGTGATATACGACATCGGACAAGTGCGCCAGGTTGCCGTGTATGAAGATCGTCGCTATGCCTACGAGCGAACGGGCCGGGCAGGCGCGGAGCAGGAAGGGACTTCCCCTAAGCCAGCCGCGACAGCTGGAGCGGAGCATGTGGAAAACACCCCGGCATCACACAGTCCGGAACGACCTGCAGTGGCCGACGCGGATGTTTACCAGGTGGTGGACTTGGAGATGGTTAACGAATGCCGTACAGATACGGACGAGGCAGCCGATGCTACTGTTGCCAATGCTGACGTTACAAGCGACCAGCTGCAGCCACATACCCAAGGTGAGAACACACCGCTTTGCGTGACTTTGCCGCATTCCAACAGACATACCATTGCTGGAGGTATGGTATTGGGCAGTCGTGGAAATTTACATGGAATCTGCAGTGGATGTGAACAATCCACATTTACCTTATTGATGGCTTTGAAGATTCCGCTCGGTCCACTGCCCAGCCTGCTTCTTTCAGCTGGTGAATAAGAAGTACTGATGCATCGGATACTAAGTACTAGTACACTTTCCTGCTGCCCATGTGGTTACGTCTTATCCGAGTTCCACTGTAGTACTTCTCTAATGTAAGTCAGGTGCAAAGGAAGCTATCAATCCCTGGCGTTGCTCAGATTTTAGGGTTTCCCGGCCAAGTTGTGTTGTTATGTCTGAGCCGCTTGCTTCGACGGCCCTGCAGTCCGTTGCTCCGAATCACTATGGTGAGGCAACTGCACTGTGAACATCCTTATGTTAAGACTCTTTTTTAACCCTTTACCAGCCGCAGGATTTATACTATTATGTAAAAAACGGGGTCCACTAGAGACTAAACGGTAAATAATTTGTATTGACACCTTTATAGTTCTGGAAAGCTGGTAGAACTACCTTTCATATGAGACTAAAACCAAGCTGATAACATGTAGAATCGTTGCCATTCATGGAGAACAATAACTCGAGCAATGCGGCCGAATTAGCAAATTCGAGGACCATGACAATATGATTGTACACTGTCGTGTCTAAAATTAATAATGCCGTCTCACGTCATCAATTTGAGGTGTTGAAAAAGGGAAAACACGAAGAAAAAATTGGCTGTCACCACCACCAGGACTTGAACCACGAACCCTACCTACTCACCACATACTCACCACATACCGAGAGATGACTATTTTCTCCCTCCCCCCCCCCTCCCCCCCCCCCCCCGCTTATCACAGCTACAAAGTACAGAATTTACCGACATTTAAGTACTTAATACTGAGGTTTAGTTGTCTGATGATTGCCTATGGGCATGAAACTACATGACTTTGTATTAGTTACAAGGAATGATGCGTGGTACTCTGTGTCGTGTGTACGATAGCTCTATTTGAATTAATGAATATTGAGACTCTCGTTTGTACTGAAGTGTAGCTGTATGTGATTGATCACCTTGTGCTTGGCATACAGGTGCTCTTGTAAAGTCGCCATCGACAATGGAGCTGCTCGACGCCGCGGACAACGAGGAACCGGCGGTGGGGTACGAGAACCCGGAAGCTTTGCCACTGCCGCAGTCACAGCACCGTCGTGCAGCGCCTCCCCGGCCAAGCGGGCCACCTCAGGTGTTGATCAGCACGCCATCGTTGTCATCAACGACGCGGCCAGCGCGCCCCGTGCGTCCACCTGCCTGGCGGCCTAGCTCTGAACTCCACACCGCCGTGGTAGTGCAAGAAGAGTAAGTAAGCTTAGTAGATTTGCTAACGCAGGTGGTTCTTGACCCGCCCTGTACGCGAACCCAGGCAATTTATATATATATATATTTTCAGGGCCGGCGGAACCGGTCAGGCTGGTCCGGCCATGGCCGGACCACTTTCCCAGGTGGATGGTACATGTGATTCGTGCAAAACCGGTGTAAAAAATCCAGAGGTACACAACTCGACTGTACTGCCGACGTGTGATGTGCTTCGAAGTAGCTCAGGACTCCGTGACCGGTGTACTATAGGAGAATGACCCCCCAGCAGATGGACCCCCGGGCATTGTACTATATAGTAGAGTGACCCCGGATGCAATCTACTATATAGTACAATGACCGGGGGGTCGTTCTACTATATAGTAGATTGCCCCCTGTCATTCTACTACAGAGTCCACCAGACTTGTCTTTTCGCACGTGCAGGTAGAAAGGGATGGAGTTTACACCACAGATTCCACGTGGACATTATGGATTGTGGCAAGAGTCCGGGGTTATGTACTCTTGATTGTGGGAATATGTGGTGAAAAGTCCACAACATTTGTACATAGGTCGCGCACTTTTCCTCTTTAGGAGACATGAACATCCCACCTTGTGTTGGATTGTTTTTGTTTTGGAGTTGGAAGAAAGTTTGCAAGTTCAGTGTTCCTTTGCGTTTTCTGTGTGCTCCTTGCTCCTTTTGGATTATTCAGGAGTTCAGGAGTTCACGGACCTCTACTAAAATAGCGGCCGAGGGGGGTCGTTGTACTATATAGTAGAGTGACCCCGGGGGCAATCTACTATATAGTACAATGACCGGGGGGGGGGGGGGGGGGGCTTCCACTACGGGGGTCATTCTACTATATGACTCCGGCACTGTATGGCTTTAATCATATGGTTAAAAAAAAGTTGTTTGTGTTCTTTTACTATTATTTTCTGCATTTTCTGGACCTTAAGAGACGCCCAAATTCGCTCTATTTCACGTAAATTTTAAATATTTCTCACGGGGGAGGTCCCCCGGACCCCCCTCAAAGGTTGGCCGGACCACTCCCAAACTCCTTCCTCCGGCCCTGATTTTTAATGCAGGTAATTAGTGGCAGTGTTTGCCTCCTGCCGCTTTAGGAGGGCAGCGCATCTGCGCCTTGATCCTTGAGGGAGATGGCGTTCCTTGGGATGCAGAAAACTCGGTGTAACCGCGTCTCTACGCGCATCGTGAATTGTTTTGCCTGCAAAGGATAAGGGTGCTTTCTTCATTGCATTGGTTTGTAGGAAGTACCACAATGCATGTGTGTGTGTGCGTGTGCGTGCGTGCGTGCGTGCGTGCGTGCGTGTGCGTGCGTGTGTGTGTGTGTGTGTGTGCGCACGTGTGTGTGTGTGTGTGTGTAGGGAAGCCGAGACGACTCGTCCGGACGCCAACTTGACTCAGAAACGGCCGTCAACCCACCATGCCTGGTCGTACCTGGCCTGCCTGATCTGCTTTCCGATGGGTGTAGCATCATGGATGAAAGCAGAAGAGGTGAGTTACTACTACAGGCAACTTGGCTAATAACGACTGCGGATATAACGACAATTCGCTAATAACGACTGCGGATATAACGACAATTCGCTAATAACGACTGCGGATATAACGACAATTCGCTAATAACGACAGAATTTCCATGCCCAGAGCAAAGTCCCATCCCACTGTAATACATATAATGAGACTTCGGATATAACTACACTTCGCGAATAAGGACACCTTTTTGATGCCCCGCCGAGTGTCGTTATAAACGAAGTTGACTAATACATGCACACAGCACTCGAGAAGAAGATGGCCGCTCCAAACGTTGGACCCATGTGTTATGGTATTTTTATTTCCTGTTTTAAAAAAAAATTAGTTCTTTTTACTTAGAAGGCGGACAGACCGATGAATTGTTTGAGTTTTGCCTGTACATGAGGCGGCTCCAAAGTAAAAAAAAAAAGCAAAAAACGTTGGAGCTCGCACTTCCTGCCGACTGACACTTGACTGACTCACGAATGCCATCTGAAGCATACGAGAAGAATGCCGAGCCGTCCACTCGCAAACCGGCAAGAACATTCCCCGAGGTACTGTGTATTGGGCAGTGATTGGCATTATTATTGTTTTTATTGTTCAGCGCTGTGCCCGGGGCAGTTTTCCGGCTGTCCCGTTGCAGTCCTCTGCTCAGCACACGATCAGCTGTAGTTGACTACTCTGCTCTGTGTTAATGTGTGCGTCTACTTGTACTTTTGCAGAGTCGAAAGATGCTGATCGAACGTAACTTCTTCAAGGCAAGGACTGCCGGCGACGATGCCAAGGGCCTGTCCCAGTTAGGCATTGGTTTGTTTGTTTCTCTCGTCATCATCTTCATCCTGTGGTACTTCACGACGACCTCTAAAGTCGGCTCCCTGTAAACGAACCACTGTTTACCACTGTGACTGTCTCGGTGGTTGCGTCGTTCACGAGAACCAGGGAGTAGTAAAATTACTACTTCCTGACGAGAACAAACTTGTACAGTCGATGCAAGCGAATCCCGGCATCGTTAGATCCATGAGGTTTACCTGCCTGGGTGATGGGGTTCAAGGCTTGTCTATCACGCATTCCGCATTGAATGCAGCTCTAGTGCCAGTTGATTTGTTGGCATGTTCGGGCATTGACCACATAGTTCCTTGCTTGCTTGGGCTTTTTTTTTAAATTGCTGCAAGACTCTATCACAGAATGAGTGTCTTATCTATAATGATTTGCCACTCCACAGATCCAGATTTTGAACTGTCGCATGTCAAATATATTCCTTCAAATATTCATTTTAGAACTAGACTGGCAGCCTCACTTCCCGATCTCGGAGTCACGAACCCGGAGCCTGGAACCCGGAGCCAATGACGCACTAGAGTGCCTTCTCAGGTTGTTCTTTGCAGCTGACGGACAACATAGCAAGTGCCCGAATTTGGCCCGGTTGCCATGCCACGTATATATCCAGTCACTAGTTAATAGTTATAGCCAACAACTGCCGAAATTCCTACATTGAATGTTTCCGGAATGACGCTACTACAGATCGTTAGTCGAAAGGACGCTAAGGGCGGCACGGTACTAGCTGACTACAGAGCCGGACTCTGGAGGTAGCAAGTCGCGCTCCTATCATTGTCGCTGCCACGGCTGTTGATGCCAGCAGATGTCAAATAGCCGAGTACTGTACAAGCAGAAATATTCGTCTGGAATTTAATTTCGTCTTTTTCGTCCAAGGAGCTTTTGGACTAAATTAAATGCCGGACTAAAATTGATTTGTCCAGCTTTTCAATACACTCTTATGATCCATGGACGAAATTTACAACCGGACGAACTCCCTTTCTTTGGAGTTGGACGAAATTATTGACCGACGAAATTTTTTGCTTATATAGTACATGTACATTGTACCGGTACTAGGCGGTAGATGTACACTAGCTATTATCTAATGATGGCCAACACTCCATTATCAATTTTTATGTTCTACTACTGGACTGTCGTGTAGGAAACTCAGAATAACGGGAACCCATTTTAGGCCGGCTGGTGCATTTAATGTTTCCATGGTTTCACACCATAATTATTTGTATGATTTAGTGCTGAGAGCATTTATGTGTCACAGCATGTGTGTCATGTGTGTGTGGGCACGCGAACATGCATTCGTGCACTATGATGTTTCCTTTGTTGCTTAGTGTTCAACATAGCCACTAGGGCATTACACCCGCCCCAAGTTTGCAACTCCCAATGCAAATGATCATCACAAAGTCCTGTTTTGACATGCAATGAAACTTTGAAAGGCTGCCACCAGTGCCGGTCTGCTGTTCTGAGAATGCACGGCCCGTGACGTACATAATGCGGAGTTGTACACATGCACCAGTTTGGTGAGTCATGTATTCTTGAAGTTGAAGTCATGCAGTGAGAGCTGGATCACGAATTGTATTCTGCAAAACAGGGAGAGGGGACTGCAGATATACCGTAAAGTCTTGTATAAAAGCCGCGGCTTCTATGACTTTCTTGGTGACATTTTGCAGGCTTATGAGACAGGCTTCTCTACAAGACAGGTATTTCTATGTATGTCAACACTAAAACCAGGCTTATGTGTGATTTAATGGGCCCAAAATTGCGGCTTCTATTCGAGGGCGGCTTCTATTCAAGTGCTGCTTCTATACAAGACTTTACGTTATCTAACACGGCAACCCGGCTGCAGATGCAGGTAGATGTATGCCGCTTGTGTCTGTGCACGCGCACACACACACACACACACACACACACACACACACACACACACACACACAAACACTTGTAATAGTTGTACTTGCTGCTCACTGCCAAAACTGGTCATGTGGGTTTCCCCGGGAGTTGGGAGAGAGATTCAAAAGGAATCTTGGAAAGATGGCTATTGAACCGGCCAACGGCCGACGCCCTCTGAAATCCCCAAAACTCTGGGTGGACTGGAAAATGATCCCACTTATGGGCTCACCACACCTCAGTACGTGGGTGGGGACAAGGTGCAGAAAAAGGATACACAGACACACACACAATAGGGAGCTGAACAGACAAGAGCCAGATAGATTGAGATTGCAGATTGGTTCGTTGTGGCTATTCACATCAAGACTAGACAAACTGCTCTATCGAAATGGCATGGCCTACAAAAACTGGATGAGGCGCAGCTGAGTAGGCTGCAAGTGCCAACTCATCACAGAATAGTCCGAAGAAAATACGGAAACAGTGAACGTAGATAAAGGGCTAGGAAATAGGAACAAGGACGGTTGCGTTCTATTGACAGCAGAAGTCAAAAATCCAGAATCAGAAGAGTAGAAGAAGAATACAAGTTCAGTGGAAATGAAAATACTGAAAATGAAGTGAAAATACAGAAAATATAATAAATCAGAAAACAGAACTAGGGGGGGGGGGGGGGAGTTGGGCAAAACGCGTAACAAATTGCTCTCAGCGTGAACGGGCAACATGGAGTAGGTTATTCCAACGCAAATTGGATGAATAGGGGACGAAGTGCTTAGTAATATACCCATTGACCAAAAACCTCTCGCCACGCGCAGCGATCGAGCAGCTTCGGTGCCAAGCAACGGCGCAACGAAAATAGAACGATAGAGAATAGATTCAAATTTCAAATGAAATGGGCATGATGACAACGGGTTAGGATCATGTCTGACAGCCATTTCGGCCAGCCGACCACTCCGCTTGACATGTATCAAGTCAGATACACAGCGGAAAAGAAGAGTATGGGGGATGCCCATGCTACACACGACAGTAGTAGCACTGCGGGCGTGTTCTATCCAGATTGCGCAGAGGAATTTTCTAGAATTTTCCCGGTCACATGTGCAATGTAGCTACACACGCATACGCGCACGCACACCGACAGCAAAATCGCAGGACACCACCGATAATGCACCAGGTCCATATCACACGGTCACATGATCAGGTCACATGGTCACATCACATGATGTTTGTCGCGCAGAGTTGATGTTTGTCATGAACATACGCTATCGAGACTAGTGAGCGCACTCAGGTCTCAGTCAACGGCGCCACTGAAGAAGTCGAAGTTGCCTTGGCAATGGTCAGCATTTCCTCCCAGTGCTTGTTCATCTATCAGCAAGAGCAGCACATGAAACGGCCACACAAAGACAGAGACACACGAAGACATACACGAACACAGACAGACAGACGGACACACACACACACACACACACACACACACACACACACACACACACACACACACACACACACACACACACACACACACAGGCACATGAGTGAACTGAGGTGGCCGAAAAAATCTGGCACCCCGATCCAATATCGCACTACAAGATGTAGGAAAAATGAGAATGTACTTCAAAGTACAGTTGCGCTCACTGAAATCCGACCCAAAGTGCAAAGCTGACGCCCTGGACCAGTTCCGATTACATCATTGTACGTGTACGTGCAGCCGCATTCATTCCACTTCCAGGGCGTCAAGGGACGTGGAAGTTGAGGGCACCAGCTTTGCAAGTTGGGCCGGATTTCAGCGAGCGCAACTTGTACATGCACCGGGGCCATGTGAAATCCAACATCGTGTAGCTGGTCAAGCTGAGTGTTGAGACCCCGGGGATGGACTTCATTCGGCACCACTGTACATGACTACACATACATCGGGGCTATGTGAAATCCAACATTGTATAGCTGGTAAAGATGAGAGTTGAGATCAAGGGGATTGATTTCATCCGGCACCACTCAGACTCTCCACGACTGTATACAACTACCCGCAAAGTCGCGTATTAAAGCCGGCCTTATTCCTGTAGAAGCTGATGTCAGGGCTACGCTTGTATTCACATCAGGCTTCTACTCAAACCAGGTATTTCTATGTGTGTCAGCACTAAGACCAGGCTTATGTGATGACAGTGTATCTTGAAAAATCAGGCGTGTATTCAAAACAGGCTTCTGTACGAGACAGGCTTTAATACAAGATACTACGGTATACATACATGTACACCAGGGACATGCGAAAACCAATCTTATACAGCTGTTAAATGCGAGAGCTGAGATCCAAAGAATGAAGTCCACCCAGCACCAATGTAGCATGTCAATGCACTTACTTGTTGCTGGTGGCGCATAAGCTTTTCTAAATATTGTATCAATCCAGCCCTGAACTCCTTCAAACGTTCAGTCTATACACACACAGTTAGTGGCACGAGTGAGTGAGAGAGAGAGAGAGAGAGAGAGAGAGAGAGAGAGAGATAGATAGAGAGTGAGTGAGAGAGAGAGAGAGAGAGAGAGAGAGAGAGAGAGAGAAAGGGAGGAGGGAGATAGAGATAGATAGATAGATAGATTGAGAGAGAGAGAGAGAGAGAGAGAGAGAGAGAGAGAGAGAGAGAGAGAGAGAGGGAGGGAGGGAGAGAGAGAGTGTGTGAGAGAGAGTGTGAGAGAGAGAGAGAGAGAGAGAGAGAGAGAGAGAGAGAGAGAGAGAGAGAGAGAGAGAGAGAAAGGGAGGGGGGAGATAGAGATAGATAGATAGATAGAGAGAAAGGGAGGGAGAGAGAGAGAGAGAGAGAGAGAGAGAGAGAGAGAGAGAGAGAGAGAGAGAGAGAGAGAGAGAGAGAGAGAGAGAGAACATACATCAGTACGCACGCACACACGGACACCTCCCCCACACACACACATGCGCGCTCACAACCACCCAGACCAAAGTCCTCTCAGTAGTTTAGGTTGAAGGTTGAATATTGCAATATTCACAAATAATTCACATCACACTGAAATAGACTAGTGGCTGAACTTGCACACTTCAGTATTGACCCTACACCAGCTACCTATTTCTAATATTATCTACCGTCTCAGTGTCCACAATACAATCATACCTCATACAGCTTGATCTCCTCCTGGATTGTCTTGGATATTGACTCAAACTCCTTCTGCCCTTCCTCCACACGCTTCTCCCACTGCATACAAGAGCGGAAAAGCAACAAGAGCAGCATCAGTAGCAACAGCAGCAGCCACAGCAACAGGAGAAGAAGAAAAGCTACTACAATGATTCAACAGAGCCCAGCAGCTTTTATCGATAGAGTTACTATGACGTAAGAGCAATGAGAACTGTTGATTGAGAAGCCACACTGCAGTCTGTGTCTTTGGCAGCACCGAGCTTTGCGGACAACGGCAAGAAATCATGAGTGTAGACCCTTCTGTCGGGCTTCATGTTAGGGATTGGTGGTGCAGTCTCTCTATACAGTCAAGCGTGCAAATAACGACCCCCGGTCTTGCACGAGAAAAAAAGGGTCGCCATTCGTAAGGCTGAAAATATGCTGTCAAATGGTAACTAGGTCTGAAGATTGGGTGGGTATTGTTGCTATACTCGAGGTTGTTATCACAAGGTTGATTGTACCCGTTGCCCACACCCCCCCCCCCCACACACGCACCCCCACGCCCGTACACACCCACACACAAAGCCGAAGCGGCACTACTACTCACCCGTGAGATTTCCTCGCGACAATAGTCCACCTTCTCTCGCTTCAGTGTCTTGGCCACTAGGAGTCGCGTCTCCTCGTCGCGTTTCTTCAGCAGGCTTGTCTGACTGCTCTGCCAGGACTGGAAGGCTAGGATACGCTGTTGGAAGCACGCCTGATGTTTACACACGTACACAAACACACATGTAGTGAGAAAAGTGGACAGACGAATAGACATATGCACACACACACGTGCACACACACACATACATACGACCATGCACATACACATACATGTACATATCTCACACTGTGCAACAACGACTGACGGTGTTGGAATTCGTGCGCTTTGCACACGATGGTTTCAATGGCAATCTACAAAACACGGCATCAGGGCCACACCGGGCGATACATTGAATGATAACTGGAGTACTCACTCGGATGGACGTCTGCATGGTCAGGTGGTCCTTGATCATTTCACTCATGATGAAGAAATCAGTATCCACCTACATAACAACAACAACATACAGAGACAGGCTAATAATAAGCCCATTACGCAATGACGTAATTTGTACCATGAACACCCTTCACAGCCACCTGCGCATGGTCGTCTGGGGGTGATGAACAGTGCATTGCTGATCCCAGCGTACTCACATGCATTACTCATACCTTCCATATTTGGCAATGCGCAATGCGCTTATTACTCGTACATACAAACATCAGAGAAAAAGAAGAAGAAAAAAAAGAAAGAGAGAAAGAAATCCTGGTGATGACGTAGACGACAAACCTGCTCATGTGGGAACATGGGCAAGGGACTAGAACAAGAAAAAAAGAAAAAAAAAGTAGCAGAGGATGGTTTCGATCCATCGACCTCTGGGTTATGGGCCCAGCACGCTTCCGCTGCGCCACTCTGCTCGATACATGAATTCCTTTCAAAAAGCCATCCATATCACTAGGGGCATTTTCGATTGGTAAGGATCGGTATCCCGATCCATATCACTAGAAGCATGTTTGATTGGTAAGGATCGGGATCCCGATCTCAGATCCGTCGGATCCTTCAGAGTCAACTGAACACTTTATTTTGGGATGGGACTTTGCTCTGGGCATGGAAATTCTGTCGTTATTCGCGAATTGTCGTTATATCCGCAGGCGTTATTAGCGAAGTTGACTGTACGCACAAAGGTCACATTTGGATCCGTTGGATGCGGCCAACCCTGCGGATCCAAATCCGAAGGATCCGGATTCGACCAATCGAAGGGGTGCGAATCCAGTGGATCCGGATCCCGATCCTACCAATCGAACATGCCCTAGGTGATTCTGCATTTCAAATTTCGGAATGTTTTCCGACTGTCACCTTGGTATACTTCACACACAAAGTTCTACATGACAAGAGATAAATTTCGAAAGATCCAGATCCAGTGAGGACCCGGTTTCTCAATGTTTCAAATCCTAGTGTTTGTCTAGAAGTATTACCTGCTTCAAGCGTATTTGCTGGATGTTCTCATGAACTGTGGCGAACTGCGCCAGAGCTTCGGAGAATTCCACATTGGTCTCACAGCCGCTGAGAATGTCCACACCCCTGCTCAGTGCTGACGATGTGTTGGCTAAGTCTGAGTACAGGAATACACACAGAAATAAGAAAGGAACAGCAGCAGCAATCCCAGCAGCAGAGAAACAACAGCAGCGGCAGCAGCAGCAGCAGCAGCGGCGGCAGCAGCAGCAGCAGCAGCAGCAACAACAGGGGAGAGACAACCATTTTAGGTATACGGTTGCAACAAGTTGCACACACTGCAAACGCACATCGACAGTATACGGTTTGTCAATAAGCAATAGCAGTGGAGAGCAAAGCTCTTAAGTTAGTTGAGTAACCAGTGCAAATGGAGAACGAGATGGAGCGCAATGCAACACTGGCAGTGAGGCTAGAGACCATTCGCATGGGTGCTACTTGTAAGTCAAAACCTGAAAAAGAGCAGGCTTTCAGTTTAGCAAAAAAACAACAGTCGAATAACTCCCAATACCACGCAGGGCATAGCGGAATGCAGGCTATTGGCACACATGTGTTGCCACAAGTCACATGTCCAGTGTAAACGTAGTCAATCAAGCGGTGGGCATGGGGCACATGGCAGTAGAAAGTATTATGGGTGTACCAAGTCACTGACGTCATCGATGACGTAATCCCGATTTAACCCTAAAACCCGGGGCGATTTAACCCAAATTTTTCCGATTTAAAATTTGCGATTTAACCTAAAATCGGAGCGTTTTACATATGACATCATCAATGATGTAATGCGATTTAACCCTAAAAATCGGGGCATATTTACCCTAATAACCCCGGTAATCCTAACCCTATCACCATAGCGATAGCCCTAACCCTAACCCTATCACCATGGCGATTGCCCTAACCCTAATATTTCTGGTGACAAGAGTATATGAAAACCAGAGTATGCAGCTCGGATGGGTTGCCGTCACGGCGGAATTCCGTGATTACATCATTTTTGTGATGTAGTGCGTACAAGCAGGATTCAAGCAGGTCTCTTTCTGCACAACTGCAGCTCAGTTGTACGCACTACGCCATTTCCCGCTTCAGATCTGCGCGAAATATGATGTAATCACGGAATTCCGCCGTGACAGACACCCATAGTAGAAAAAGTCCCAAGCTGCACACTCTGGTTTTCATGTACTCTTGCTGGTGATGATAACTCCAAGATAACCCTAACCCTATCACCATGACGATAACCCTAACATTCCTGGTGACGATAAACCTAACTCTAACACCATGACGATAACCCTAATATTCCTGGTGACGATTACCCTAACCCTAACCCTATCACCATGACGATAACCCTAAATTTTGCTGGTGGTGATACTGTAGAACGGGTGATTTTAGCGAATTTAGCAATCTACTCATTTTCGCTAAAGTTTCAAGTCGCTAATCCGTTGAGACATTAATAGTGCACTGGTGATCCGTGAGTATAATCGCTGAAAATCGCTAAAATAAAACGTCGCTAGTTAACCGGTTGACAATGGGAAAAGCGCGTGGGAAAACGCTAAAATTAATAGTCGCTAAAATTACCCGTTCTACAGTAACCCTATCACCATGACGATAACCCTAATATTTCTGGTGAAGATAAACCTAACCCTAACGCCATGACGATAATCCTAATATTTCTGGAGACGATAACCCCAAGTTAACCCCCTAGTAGCCCTCGCAACCCTATCACCATGACAATCCTATTACCATGCCAACTCTACTCTTTTTATGTGTGCAGGTCCTACAGCTGAAGAAGTCCTCCTACGAGTGCTTTTTTTGTGTAGAGGGGACGGCTCGATACTGGGACGCTTTGACAGCCAAATTTGTATAGACCCAAACCGATCATCAGCGTTGATTTTTCACTCGAAATATGTTTGTGGAAGGAAACTGGCATGTTGAAGTTTGCTCTGGGGCCAGAGTCAATCGAACTGAGCCACTCCTTTGTGTTGACCCATTGCCTCCAAGTTGCCCAATTTTTCGCTTCAAAAAAGTTCAAATCAGAGGTGGCTCCAAACCGGACACGTTTTAGAGTGCACGTCAAGTTCACTCTGGGTCTGAAATTAGGTAATTGCTATCGCTCCACGACGGCCAGTACAGAGTAACAATAAGCCTTGTGTGTGCTTCCATTAGTTTTGATTGGTATGCGGTGCTTTATTGGCGAGAGGTGAGCCGCTGTTTACCTGCGACAAGAAGTTGATTTTTCGAAAGTCGTAAAACTCAAGTCGCAGTACGAAGCAACACGTCAAAAACTCACCTGCTTGATATGGCGCTTCTGGTCATCGCAGAGCCATGAAATTTTGGCTCGGAGTATAACACATCGTAGTCTCACTGTGACATATGTTTTCTAATCAAAATACCAAGAGAGAAAGTGAATATTGAGTCCGTTCCGGTTTGCAACCTATGTCCTATTTGAAACCGTCCCCTCTACAGATCACCACAACAACAACAACACTCAGCAAACCCTAATAATCTTATCAAGAGTAGATAAACAAGAGTGTGCAACTCCAGCTATGGGGTCTGCGACGGCAGAACTTCACATCACGTGATGAACCCGTGCACTCTAGTGCATGATAGATACTGGGTTGTACGCAGCCCAGCTTTGGGTACAACTCTCTTGTGGTCACTTTGCACTGTTTGCCAGCATAACCTTTTGAACCATGTCACGTGATGTGAAGTTCTGCCGTCGCAGCACAGCATAGAGGTTGTGCAGGCAGTTGCACACTCTTGGGTTATGTACTCTTGATCTTATGTGTACAGGTCATGTACCCTATTAGCAAATCTTGTTGTTATGTGCACAGATCCTATCGTTATGCCTTCACATCTTGATTGGGTAGTGAGTGGCGGTCACCATGATCATTCTCTTTATCGCGCGAGTTTCAACAATCTACCATGTGAATCCCACACGTTTCAAAGAGATATTCACCATGTAGTATTCACTCTACCGTCCAATTTACCCGCTTCACATCCTGAGCGGCGGACTCCATGATCATCGCGCAGAGTGTTAATGTTGAACTGCGCGCGCGCCGCACCCTTCCACCAACGAACATCAAACAACTGGGTGGGGATAAAAGTGATTGGATCCACCTTGATCAGTCCCATTCAACAAACCGACATCATGCTGTTTAGCTGTTCTCTGTGTGGAAAAACCATGACCGGCCTCAAGCGCGTTTGCGTGGGGATAAAAGTGATTGGATCCACCTTGTTCAGTCCCATTCAACAAAACCAGCTAATATGCTATTTAGCTGTTCCGTCTGCGCCAAAACTGCGACCGGCCTCCAGCCGTTCGTGGACCACTTGATGTCGAAGGGGCATCGCCAAAAGCTGGAGGCCGGTCTACAGCCCGAGTTTCTTTGTTCATGGTAAGTGATCTGTCGTGCAATTCTCTTTATTTGAAATACCAGAGATCTTATACATGTTTTGATCTGTTCCCCCATGCAGCGACAATCAATGGAGGGACATGACGTCCCTGAAGAAGCACGCAACAACAAGTCAACATATGGAGAACTATATGGCCAAGTTGGGTGCCTTCTACGGCCAGATCCCAACGAAGAGCATCATCACGCTCATGAAAGCCCAGATGGACCTAACTAATTTATTTAAAATCAACATATCTGTTAAATGTGTGTCTGGATGGGGGTCGAGCACTCATTTGACTGCATGCTCCGAGTCGATGGGTTTGGCATGTCGAAGTTCGATGTGATTGACGTAGTGGGTAGCTGCAAGTTCGTTGAACAGAGCGGAGGCAAACGTATGGCAGCTGTTTGTTACAACGTTGTAAATACCCTTGACGAGATTGGAGTCGTAGAGGAAATCTATCATATCCTGCAGATTTACATGTGATTGGTCAGCAATAATCTCCTCTATCGGAGTTTTTCGATTGGTGCTTCGATAGGAAGATCTCACGCTTGAACGAGTCTTGCCTCTGCATATGCTGACACCGTCGGTGGTTTTTTCCGCCGGCCACCACCAGTTTCTCGTTTGAAAGACGACGAAAGCGTGGAAAGCAATCAAATCCGTCGGTTGAAGGTACCACATGGGAGTTTTGTAAATGCCCGCCCAGATGATGGTCTCTTCACCTACGAGGGGTTTGAGATAGGTTTTGATGTCGGCGTTATCGATTCTCCATGCATCTTGCCCGATTTTATTCACGTTCGGGTGGAAGTACACGGCTTTATCGTAGTTAGCACCACCAAATTTGTGCACGAGCTCCGAAAGTCCGGACGAGATGTTCATGCACGAGGCAGACATGATGACGAGAGCATGAAAATTGCATGCAACCCTGTTGACGAATTGAGCATAATGATGCATGACGAAAGCAAGTAGAGTCTTTTTATACCGGCTCCTACGGCCAATGAGCACTCGTCAGCTCCGCATTATAGACGGCGCGCCGACTCCATTTCCTGAACATCATGGACCTGTGTGATCAATTCAACGCGCTCATCAATTACGCTCGACAGCTGGGGATGAGAGTACGTTCTTACCTTTGCGATCTGCAGCCAGACCCTCGAGAGCCGTGTGAAGAGATTTAAGATTTTTGCTGAGAGCATCATACTGTTTGTGCTTATCATCAAACCACTGCAAGACAGGAACATGAAGTATAAAGAAAAGAAATGAAACATGTGTTGCGAAGTTGTCGCGCAGACCGCGATAGCACTTAGCACAAGCCAACAATAACGCACTCGCTTAGCACCACACCAGAGAGGACTGAGAAGTTCTTACGTATAACAACGTTCCAGTTCACGTATGGAAGAAGAGAAGGCCAAATATGGTGTAGAAACAAACCATTATATGGCATAGCTAGAGTAAGGGGTGATAGTTACAAAACATCGTTACTATAGCAACAACAATGGCAACCGTGACGGAAACTTTAATATATGATGTGAGCGTATGTGCTGACTGAAATGAACTTACATTGTAACAGCTGCATTTACTTCTAATTGTTGCAAAAGAAGGATCCACGAGCGGGATTCGAACCCAGCACCCCTGTCTTTCCGGGACAGTGCCCTACCGATTAGGCTACCGGGGATCACACACACTCATGGGTCCTTCTTGCTACATAATTACATGGCTATTGCTTCACCGTCGTCATGGTAACGACATCGTTCACGACAACATGGTTGGTTATCACCGAAAAGGAAAGAGTTTCACAACTCCGTGACGGACTTGGCTTGGGTTTCCGAAGATTTGTGCACAGGGTTCGTAGCACAACATATACACAAAATTTCAGGGGATATTCAGGGGCATTTCAAGGGTATTCACAGATGTCATACAGTCGCTAGACACCACATATCCGTAGCCAAGCAGAGGTTCACTGATTCAGAATGTCAATAATCGAAGATTTGATCATCAATAAAATACTACAAGTAGTAGAGCCACCGTCACCATCGAGCTTCTCCATCGCTGAGTTCTTAGCGAACTAGCCAGTCTTTGTACGGGTCCAAAAACAACCAGCGATCGTTGAAAACACACTTGCCTTTCGGCATGGAGAACAAGTACAACTCTGTAAAATGTCTTCGGCATTCCGAAAAAAAACTGAAGACACTTTGTCTTGTTGAAGGCCAAAACAAACAAATAAAACGGAAAAGCAGTTGCAGTGACGCATGCATGCATGCACACACACACACTTGTACTTTCTTGTACTTGTTGCTCACTGCCAAAACTGGTCACGTGGGTCTCCCCGGGAGAGGGGAGAGAGACTCAAAAGGAATCTTGGAAAGATGACTCAATTGGCTATTGAACCGCCCAACGGCCGACGCCCCCTGAAATCCCCAAAACTCTGGGTGGACTTGAAAATGATCCCACTTATGGGCTCACCACACCTCAGTAAGTGGGTGAGGACAAGGTGCAGAAAAAGGATTGACGGCATCAGGGTATCCGTCCCGGGATCCAACTACAGTTACCCCGGCCCCCAGTGAAGGTAATACAGGTAGACTCCCTTTAATTCGAACCTCAAATTGCCAGGACCTAACTTCGAATTATCCAGAACTTCTAATTATCCAAATGCAGCCCCATGCACTGATATGTATGTCAAAATGCTTGAAATCGCAGGCCGAATATTTTTTGCACATTTTTATTTGCATCAACGAAACATAGGTGGTCGTACCGGTCATGTACAACGGGTCATCAAAACACTGGATCGACACAAAATCATTTTGACATTATCTTCATCTTCTAGTGAAGAGGTAACAGTCACTGCAGCTTTCCTGAAACAATTATTTCAACGGAAAAGAACTGCGCTGCCTAATCCGCGTCATGAAAGGCCGTCGGACAGCAGCACCGGACAGCAGCACGTCGTTCTGAAGAACGGAAGTGGAGCATAGGCATAGACAATATTTACGACAATAGTGTTGTTGTGCGCCAACATCTCTGCGCACGCGCTGGCGCGGCAAGAAAGGCCATCGAGATCTGCGAAGAGAGTCAGCCACCTGGAAGAAGTCGTCTTCAATCAAACCTTTGCAATTTGCCTCGCACGGGCTTGAATCAAATTTCGAGAGAAGGTGGGTTTCTTGAACGCTATAGTCGATCCTGCAGCGGACCATTGATCGATTTTCGAGCTACTCTTGGCTAGAGAAGGAGAAAAGAATGAACTTCGAATTACAAGGATAGCAACTCAATCTCACTTCGAAATAAGCGTTCAAAGGACATAGCCAATGTACTGTAAACAACTCGTCTGTACGAAGACTGGGTTCGAATTATCCAACCGGCGCACTTTTCGTACTTCGAAATATGCATTCAATTTTGACTTGAAGTGACTTGCAGAAGATCGGTACGACGAAAAAGTTCGAATTACACGGAATGTTCGAATTATACCGTATTCGAATTAGAGGGAGTCTATCTGTACTTGCTACTAGTGTGGGTGGCTAAATCAGAGTGGATCTGATACAAGCTTCATTAGCACCATGATTACACAAGAGTTAATCTAGCCAGAAGTAGTCCATGGTTAACAGGTATGTATACTTCAAATAGAAAGTATATGAATCCTGGAACCAACAAAGGTGGCAGGTACAACATTACACCTTCAAGCACACACACACACACACACACGTGCACGCACACGCTTGCACACACGCTTGCACACACACGCTTGCACACACACGCTTGCACACACACGCTTGCACACACACGCTTGCACACACACGCTTGCACACACACGCACGCACGCACGCACACACACACACACACAGGGCAAGCAGGCAAGCGGACAGCAAGACACGCACACCTAACGTGCAACCTTACGTCGTCCGACTCGGACATCCTCGCTGTGATCTTGGCAATGGCGTTGGTGACACCCTTGAACAGTTTCGTGACACCTTCGGTGCTCATCACGGAAACGCCAACAGGTTTCTCAATCTGCATAACACAGGCAGCACAGACCAAATTACTGCATAAGATTATGCACTGCAGTATCCAGCAGTTGCACTAGTAAGAAGAACTACCGTGACCCTAAGAGTGCATGTGAACTACACTCACACACAGTAAACCTGTGACTAGCGACCACCCCTTGGGGCCAGAGAAAGTGGTCTTTAGTGACAGGTGGTCCTTAGTTAGAGGTTTGCACCGCACAACCATAATAATGAATGTGAGACCGTCTGTGCCTGGCGAAGTGGTCTGCAGTTCTAGGCTGGTCGCTAGTTTACGGTGGTCTTTACAAGTGTAGTTACAGGTTTTACCAAGAGCACATAAACCAGAGTGTGCAAATGTGCATATCAGATCTGAAACACCGCAGTTCGTGCACGACGTCACCCTGATGAGGTCAGCCAAGCTGCGACTTGTGTACAGCTCAAATTTTTGTGTTTCACAGTCCGGAAATCAGCCAAGTTTGCATGATTTTAGACTGTTTTAGGATTTCGGTGTTTCTGTGTGACTGTGTACGCTGCGTACATCCGCTCGCAAGTAAATTCACCAGGCTATCCGTATCGAAAGATCGAAATCAGGACAAACTCAGTGACCTGCACCACCGTGACTGGTTACGCAACTTTTCACCGTACCTCTGGCTTACCATGCCGTCAGAAATGACGTACTGGACGGATTACGCTCCCACAGGAACCATCCTGAGTTGCATACTCTGGTTTATGTACTCTAGGATTTACTGTACTTGGTCTTCGATGCGAAGGTGCTTGGTTGAAGTAGCCTACACGAGCCAATTCGAAACCAGAATGCCAACTGATAACTTCCCGGTAAGGGCGCGTTCAGACTGGCGTAAAAAACAAGCGGAATGTGAAAGTTGTCAAGGTGAATCGCTCACGTGACGTTCCCGCCAGCGTAAACACGGAAAAGGTTTCCCACCACTCTGCAGGCCAGTGGAATGCAGATTCCGGCGGCACGCGGAGCGCTTTTGATATCCTTGCAGCACATGTTCCGTCTTTTCGTTTTATTTCAGCCTCTACTCTTGCAGTCCGACTGCATGCTTTTGAGTTTTGAGCTTTGACTTCTAGACTGCCAACTTCTCCCATCATGCCGAAATCTTTGTTCGACTCAGCAATTGAGAGGGAGTTCACGGAGCTGTACGTGGTGATTTTTGCGGGCCGCTCTGCAGACAAAACGCTTACTGCGAACGAGAAGCATACTCTGATCGCGGAGCGTATGAATGCCAACCAAGCCCCAAACACTCCGGACATAGTATTCTTTCCGTCGACAAGCACAAGCAAAAGCACAATGATCCAGTATCTCAACAGACTGAATTAGTTTATTTTGATATCCAACTCAAACTGAGTCAACTCAAATTTTTTCAAATGCCCAAGCTTCACATGTACTGGCCATTCCAGCGGGATACACGTGCAGTGTGATTGCGATTCCCGGGATTACGCTGCAGCTTTCCGGCGGCTATTCACGCCAGTCTGAACGCGCCCTAATCAGTTCTATAAGGGGACCTGGAGTGCAAAACACTGCTCTAAAATAACAATAGTGCACTGCAAATGAAGCCCAGACGCCTCAGGAGTGCAAGACTTCAAAAGTGTATATGCAAGCAATCAGTACGCAACTGCAGTTGGCCAAAAAACATCTACTTTGCAGTACAGCGAGAGAGAGAGAGAGAGAGAGAGAGAGAGAGAGAGAGAGAGAGAGAGAGAGAGAGAGAGAGAGAGAGAGAGAGAGAGAGAGAGCAGTGTGCAACAAAGACACTCCAACCTCAGGGACATTGATAATAAAAAAAACCCTGGTAAGGCATCCTCATCCTTGCGTCTAAAATAAGCGAACATTGAGGTATGCCAGAGCGAGCCTATGAGAATGGCTACATACCTCATGATTGGCCTGTAGAAACTCATGGAAGTCAGAGTCGAGACGCAAGAGCGGATGAGAAGCTACACGATTGAGATACCTGCAATAAAGGGGAGAGAAGTGAGAGAGAATGAGAGAGAATGAGTGAAAGAGAGAGAGAGAGAGAGAGAGAGAGAGAGAGAGAGAGAGGGAGGGAGGGGGGGGGGGGGAGATACACACACAGATGCATGCACACTTACACACACAGACAGACAAACGTACAGACAGACAGACGTACAGACTATCAGACAGACACACAACACACCATTAATATACCTATCCAGTCATACTAGAGTACCAGCTCTGCTGAAATCACAGTCAGTGAAAACGGGAATGGAAAAAAACACCACCATGCAAAATTCCGCTACCCATGGGTAGGGAATTCCAGTACCGTACCTCTGCAAGGCAGCACGCCTCCGTTCGACTAAGTCCATCGCTGCACACGATGTACTTGACTGGGCTTGCGGCTGGATGGCTCGACTACGCGTCATGCCCACAGCACTGCCCACGGTTGAAACTATGTATTTGATCAGGGCACAGGAAATGAAAAGCATATAGGTAGAAAAGAAAAGGCACCGTTGTGAGTTACAATTCAAACGCAAATCGTACAATGAGATTGCAATTTAGATGCTCTATTTGGGTACATGGGGAGGGAAGAGAGGGAGAAGAAGCGGGAGAGAGAGATGGAGAGATGCAGAGATACAGAGAGAGAGAGAGAGAGAGAGACAGAGAGACAGAGAGAGAGAGAGAGAGAGAGAGAGAGAGAGAGAGAGAGAGAGACAGAGAGAGAGAGAGAGATAGACGAGAGAGACGAGAGAGAGAGAGAGAGAGACGAGAGAGAGACGAGAGAGAGAGAGAGGGAGGGAGAGAGAGAGTGAGAGAGAGAGAGTGAGAGAGAGCAACAGCAGGAGGAGCAGCAGTAACAACAGTAACAGCAACAATGAGATTGACACAATCATGAATGATCATACCTATGGTGTTAGACTCGGGCAGCTGTGGCAGCAGACAGCCTTTCTTCAGGTAGGTATTGACTAGACGAGACTGCAGCGATTGGAACTCGCTGTACTTGCGACGAACTGACACTTCAGAGCTGCGAAACTGAGGCAAATTGGTCTGAGAACGAATATAAAACGAACACAAGCGTAGAAAGTCGTCAGGCATAGAATCAAGCGTAAAGGAGTTACACAATTGAATGTATCCTCTCCTCAGGCTCTACCGCTATTTCTGAGAGTTGCTCCATCGTCATCACCAGGCACTACACATCTAGATCAAAACATGTCTTTAGCGGAACACAGCAGGATTAGAACTCAAGTTTCATCACTGCAAGGCTACCTAAAAAAACGTAAAGTTGGCACACTCGCGTTACCACCGGCTATAGAATAATTGTTTTGAGAAACACAGCCAGTTTAGAGAAGTTTCGCTCGTGCCAGGCCACCACCATGCCTGATTATACCAGGGTCAGAGATCGGGGGTGGGGGGTGGGGGTAGTAAGTCCCACAACCAATGCCCGACAAGGGGGGTATGTCTCACAACCAATGCCCGACAAGGGGGGGGGGGGCAAGCACACGGTTACCTTAGTTGTGATATGGTAGGTTAGATAGGAAGACATGCCTTCGCCTTGCTTGATCGGTTCCGTCACCGTGACTTCCATCTGGTACAGCGCAGCTTCATCCATCTCCAGCTGCGGAAGAAAAAAGAGCATGGCAGAAATGAGAACCTTAGACAGGGGTGACTATGACACAATTTGGGGTGTTGCATTTCTTTTATAAATTCTATCGGTCTTTCAGTAAGCACGGGTACCTTTGTAACAATTGGCATACAGCACTGTTCTGTGTCGAAGAGCTGTGGGATTAGCCTCGTAGCAAGAGTGCATAAACAAGTATGCAACTGTGGTTATGGGCCAGTGCGCGGCGCGCTGCCTTCATTACGTAACTTGCCTCCATCACGCTCTGAAAGCATGCACTTAAACCCACAGTTTCTCGTACGAGCCCATCCGTTTTTGCTGGATTCATTCCAGTACCTACGCGATCTCTAAATTTTGGCGCGTGAACTCGAGTTCCGTACGAAAATTCATTTCAAACCAGAGGGAAAGCGCGGTGTTTGATTTTCCGCAATGCGCGGACTGCAGCTGAATGATGTAATGAAGGCAGTGCGGCGAGTGCGCCGTGCATCTGGCCCATAGAAAAGAGATCACAGTTGCATACTCTTGTTTATGGACTCTTGCTCGTAGTCTAGGTCATTCTTATAAAAAATCCAATGTATTACAGTGTATGCACAGTTGAGTCACTGTGTATATATCGGTATGCTGTGCTTGGTGAAATCCTAGCCTGTTCGTTCTCAGCGCCCGACAGTAGTGCACTGAGGCACAGCTGTAGGTTGGCATTGTTTGTCTCACCGCCGTCTTCCTTCCTCTGTCGAACAATTGATCACGGCTAGAGAATGTCAAGACCAGTCCTTCATGGCCATTTAGCCGTTCTACAGTTCTGGCTAGAGAAATTCAACCTCATGAATAAAGTAGCGCCTTGCTCGAGTGCAATGAATAGTGTGTGTGTGTGTGTGTGTGTGTGTGTGTGCGCGCGTGTGTGTGTGCGGTGCTAGGGCTGCTAGCGTTCGGCACTATTTTATTCATGAGATCAAAGTTCTCGGGCCAGGACTTTAGATTGTATCTGGTCAAAGAGACTGCTGTTACTTCTTGCAAAGACTGCACCCTGAGCGCTGGGGAGCTGCATGTTTGAACCATTGCTTTGAAATTTGATTACCATAGTCTACAGTCATAGTGCATTATAAAGTCTGTGCACATAGCTACAGTGTTCAGACCATGCTTCAGGTGACGTCGGGCACCTTTTCAAGCTGCAACTGCAGGTGTATGGATGTACGTACAGTAAAACTTGTCACGGCCAACACTGGTGGCAACCACCTGCCCCAGAGGGACACTACCACTAGGAGAGACAAAACTGTCATGCATGATCGAAGTAAAAAAAAGCATGCGTGCGCGTCAACAGATTCTTCAAAACGCGGCCGTATATCATGCGTGTGTGCACAAGCAGTTTATCTCCCCCTGCTCCTTATTTACGCAGGCAGTTACTGCAGTAGTGCAGGGATGTTGTGCAGAGTTGATGCACCTAACATCTTTCTGTGAGAACCGGACCTAGGAGAAGGCAATCATGCCTGTGCATTTGGTGAAGTAAAATAAAAGTCAACAACAACAACCGAATCAGTGCAGGTCATCCTGAATAGCACTCTACTTTGCTCCTTCCCATAGCAATCTAGAGTACAGCCAGACCTCGCTTTATTTATTTATTTATTTCACTCCACTCGTGGTTCATGACCAATTGGCACGCAAAGTGCGAGAGAGGGGTGATAGCCAACCACGGCAACTTATCCGGTCCTCTTTTATCCGGATCCCTCGCAATCCAGAAAAAAATCGTTGGTTACCGATTTGCAGCATATGTCCTGCATACATACAGTATGTGACTGTGTTCGATTATCCGGTTCCCTCGCCTGTCCGGGTATTTTCGTGGAAAACGTTTGTGTGCGGTTAAGCGAGGTCTGACTGTACCGGACAGTGAGCGTTCAGCCTCATGAAAATTGTAGCGAAATGTCTAAGTCCACAGGATAGTGTCTGTGGTGCTAGGGATAGCGCTCAGCGCTAGTAGTCATAACCTGAATTGCAGCAATCACCAATTATTAGAATTACAGATGGAGCGGACTCGCCCCCTTCTATTTACACTGCAACGTTCGAACACATTTTCGTAGTTAAAACAACGTTTCGGCATATAGCCCTCATCAGGTTTGCAATGATGTGCACTCTACAAAGGAGCAGCAAATATACTGTGCTGTGCTGTGTTTGCGCCAAATGTGTCAGCTACAAAGGTGGCGAAAGGGATTGGTGATATATTAATATCCAGATACGATATATTCACAGTAGTGCCCAGCCAGCATTAGTGTTTACTTGCGGCCGCAAGTTGCGGATTTCAACAGCTTCTCGCAGTTTTCTGCTTGCTCTGTCGCCTGCCCTTGCCAGGACTGACACAGCCGAGAACACACTATCCGCAGCAGCTATACTCTCGCCAGAATGTTTGTCGCGCACGTGGTCACCCCATGGCTTATCGAGAGTGCGACGGCGTGCCTCGCCATTGTGCTCCCGAATTCTTGTTTCCAAGGAGCGTTCCGTCTCCCCTACATACGTTTCCCGGCACCATTTGCATTGCAATTCGTAGACTACATTCTTTTTCATACATACTCGTTCGCCTCCAGACTGACAGGTAATGCAAGGCCCTAGTGGACGTCCTCTCCGTCTTTTTTCAGTAATGTTGGGCTCGTTTACGCACTTGGGTGGTAACAGCGCCGAACGGCACAGTTGACGCCTGAGGCTGCCCGAGTGCTCGTATACGACACGTACCGGCAACTTGTATTTCCGTATTGCTTTGTTCACATGGTGGTGTACTTCATCGGACTTGAACGGTAGTTTAAGGAAGGCAGAGCGGGGATTACCGCGTCGTCTACGCCGAGGTTTCCTGGCAGCTTCCCTTGCTTCCGATATGATACTGTCTGGGTAGTTATTTATGCGCAGTTGTTTGTGTATTTTTTGTTCGCTCTCGGCTTGCATCATGGGGTTAGACGATAGTCGCTGTGCCCTTAGAAATTGAGATTGAGCAACGGCTAACTTGATGTGGTGAGGAACTGCCGATGAATAATCCACCAGTAGGCCACTACTGCATGCCTTCTGGAACAATTTGAATGACAGCTCTCCGGTTTGCCCAACCGCGATCGTTACGTCCATGTAGTCTATGCAGCCACTGTCACAACTTAATTCATGCGTGAATTTGATACGTTCGTGGCTGGCGTTGAATCTTTCTATGAGCTCCAGAAGGCGCTGCCTACCATGTGTCCACAGGATGATGATATCGTCGATGTATCGTCTGAACAGAATAGGTTGGAAGGGTGAGTCCTGAAGAAGTCGTGTCTCAATGGTGTGCATAAACAGGATGGCAAATGGAGGTGCCAGGTTGTTCCCCATAGCAACCCCATCTAGCTGGTGGTAGATCTGTCTGCCAAATCTGAAGAAGTTATGACCCAGAACAAACTTCAGTAGTGTCCTGACTTGGGTCACGCTCAGCCCGAGCATATCAACTCTGTTATAGTGTTGCTCTAGCACGTCACTAACGGCATTCACGCCCTCTTCGATCGGTATGCTGGGATACAAACCCACCACATCCATCGTAGCCAGAATCGTTCCAGCAGGTGCTTTAAGGCCAGGGTATATGGTGCGGATATTGTCTAGCGCGTCTTTGGTGTTGATGAGGTGCGATGGGACAAATGCAAGCAGTTGATGCAATATGCGTTCGAGAACCACCGAAATTCCTGTGACTGGACTGTCACAAGCAGAGACAACAGGTCGGAGGGGCAAATTTTGCTTGTGGTCCTTTGGAAGACCGTATAGTTCCGGGAATCGTGTGTCATGAGGGAGTATTGCAGTCAGAAGATCAGGATCCATATTCGTGCATTGCTCTTCCAGTATGGATTTAACCTCTTTCTCATACGCAGTGATAGTTAGATCCACTTTTCTGTACATAGTGCTGTCAGACAGAAGTGCCTCTGCCTTCTCCAGGTAGAGTTCCTGTTTCATAGCTACTAGCTTCTTGCTCTTGTCGGATTGCTTTATCACTACACTGGGGTCATGACGAAGTTCTCTCAGTCCGTCGCGTTCCTCTTGCGTCATATTATGCTTGGGAGGTCTTTGTTTGCCATATGCTGCCAAAACTTCGTCCTTGAAGTTGGCCATCTTTCTTTCCCCATCCTGGCTCATTCTGGGCGGTTGCTTGAAGCCATGCTTCTTTAGCTTCCACAGCCTGCGATCACACTCGGTACCGGTATCGTGGTCGTCCTCTGGCTGGTCCACACCCTGAGGCCGCGCCTGCTGCCATCTCAAAGTGTAGGCCATCCGTTCTACGGAGGTGACCACTTCTGATTTCTCACGACTGGTTAACTTGCCCGTGGACGGTACAAAACCGGGTCCCAGTTCCAATACCCGTCTGGCATTGTCTGTTACACACGAGTCCATGACAAGCGTTCGCCGAGAATGCTCCATTTCCGTCCGGCCGGGACTACCCAGGGCTGTCCCACTCTGGTAGGACGACGCGGGCAAACATGCCTCATGCGCTTCCCTGGCATCTTCTTGGGCTTGAAGCCTAGACAGCTTCCATCGAAGCCTTGCATTGGTACGGATGCGCTCCTCCGTAACCACACAGCGCCGCAGGGCGCGAATACGCACGTAGTCCTCCCTGGAAAACGACCAAAGCTGTTCGCAGAAGTACCGGCACTGTCTTGTACGGAAGTCCCTTTCTGCGCACTTGTCCTGTATTGCGTCGCTCAGAAGTCGGAGACAGTACTGGAAGCGTCTTTGCTGTCGAACACTCTTGTGCCTTGAGGCTGGAGGTGGCCGAACCGATTGCGTGATGAACCGTGGGATGATACGCTCCCGCCGGCATTGAAGAAGAAACGACAACTGGCACTGGCTCCTCTGGAGTTTGCACCCCCATTGCAAGTATCGCCATGGCGCCTCGCTCCTAGAAGAGGAGAACCAAGAGATTAGAAGCGGTGAGGCCTCCTGCAGTTTCATACAGAATTACAGATGGAGCGGACTCGCCCCCTTCTATTTACACTGCAACGTTCGAACAC